AATGTATGGAATTGTAGACTTTCCATCCTTGATGAGCTTGTTCACTGAGGAGAGATCGATCGACTCGGGACGGCCACCGCAAGGCACGAACATGTCAGTGATACCAGTGTCGCGAAGATGATAGGTGTTACGGAATGCAGTGCCGTTGTACACCACCTCTCCGTTGGGGAGTGTAACGTTGGTATCGTCGCAAAGCACACGATAACCATCCTTGGAAAGCTTGGAGATGTCGAAGTTCGAGATCATAGCTCGAGCCTTGGCAAGGCGGCGCAACTCATCCATGTCAATGCCGTTGGGGTCGCAGAGAACACCGGATCCGTCAACAATAGCAGTGTATGTCTCGTTGCTGAGCAGAATCTCGTTGCTGCCAAGATCACCATCGGGACCACCAGTCTGCATCTTCCTGATCTTGGAGGGATCAAGCTCAAGCTTGCGGTAAATACCCTTGACGTACTCACGGACCGACAAGGTTGTCATGCCATAGGAGTCGTGCGGGATACCACCAAGACGAGGCGACTTGCCGGTGAAGAAGGACTTCCACCAAGGAGCGCCGCGAGCCCGGGCATGCTCAGTGGCCCAGTCAACAAGGTCAGCAGTGTTCTCGTCCGGTCCCATGAACAGAATCTCCTCCTTGCCATAGAGATCGACAATGGGATTCTTGATGCCAGGTGAGTCAGCCTTCAGAAGAAGGTCAAGGATACTATCGATGTACTTCTCAAAGGCCTCGCGGTGCCTATCTTGCTGCTTGGGGTCAAGGAGAATGACACCCTTCGATCCGCCCTCCGGAATATCCTTGTTCTTGCGCTGCTGGGTGCTGGCAAGGCCGTAGTTCTCATCAAAGAGATTGCGGGCATTGATCTGGTAGGCCTCCTTGCTTCGAGACTTGACAATACGAATACCGCCACGTGCAATATCCTTGAAGCGGAGGTGGAAACCACGCGACTCGGAAGTGATGACGAGGAACATGCCGTACAACGGCTTGGGATACTCGACTTCCGGAAGGAACGAGGGGTCAAGCCGGAAGCTCAGAGCGACCTTGGTGGGAGTGAAGAAGTTGGTCTTGAGGACTGCATTGTTAAAGACACGGAAAGCAGTCATGACCATTTCCTCGTGCTCGTTAGAGACGTCCTTGGTGATCTTCTCCTTAAGCTTGGCATCAGAGAGGACCTCCATGGCAGGCGTGGGCGCAACGAGGTGGCGATCATAATCGTTGCCGACTCGAAGGTGAACGCTGGCGAATGAAGCGTAGAGAGCGCGCACAAGCTGTGGGTGGGAGCTGATGATCTCAAGAATGTAGTCAGGCGTAAAGGTCTCGGTACGCAGACGCTTCTTCATCTTGGAGAGAATCTCAACATGCGAGTTGTTCTTGGGGTCGAGGGCTGCGATGAGCGAAGTGTACTCTGTTCCAAGGCGGTTCAAGAAATGCTGGACGAATACCCAGACGCAGTGGGCATAGATGGTCTCCTGCAGACTGAGTTCACCAGAGGCAAACATGTTGTGGAACTTGTTCTGGGGAAGGCAGTACAGCAAGGAAATTTCCTTGGTGATCTGGTGAATAGACTGCTCAAGAGGAGGGTGCTTGCCGTCGATGTTCGCAGCAGGGCGCAGATAGATACTCATGACGGTAATACCGTTGGAGAACTGCTCAACGTACTTGCGAGAGCTTGTGACGCCGTAGTAGTGGTAAAGGTCGCTGAGGGCGCTGAAGATTCCCTTTGCTGTTCGAGAGCGGAAGGCAACTACCAGTCTCATTTCCTCCGAGCCCTCAATGTCGAAAACCTCAATGACGGGGCCATGTCGGCTCACAGCAACCTGGATAATGTCCTGGTAGATCTGCTTGGTGTTCTTGGTCGCCTTGGCAAGGAACATGCGGTCGCTGATAACTTCCAGGCGAGTTTCCTTGGGGTCGGCGTTGGAATCAACGAACAGACACTGATAGACAAAGTAGCAACGAAGAGCTGCCTTGGAGTTCTCCCTCTGTCCCAGGACACCGGGGGATCTGAAAGTCTCGACACGGAAGCGCTTCGAGGTATCGTCGCCATCCAAGTACTTGGACTCTAGTCTGTGCTCATATCGCGGGCCGTCGAAGGAGGTCATGCCGGGTTCGCTTGTGTCGATGTAAATGGCGTGGTCTGAGGCTTCCATGTCCAGTCTGATCTCTTCCCGCTTGTCCTCGCGAGAAAAAGCAGCAACCTTGGCCGCATAAAGGGATGTGATGTGATTCGCAACCACCTGAGGGTTTTCTAGTTGGAAGTAGACGTCGTCAATGCCAAGCTCATTATAGAACCAAGCAACCTGAGCGTCCACCAGAGTCTCGGGAATCCAGCCGCCCCGGACAATGATATCCTTGACTGAAATGGATGTCAGTAAATGTTATAGCGCAGTTTATGATTGGAAATACCAACCTTGCTGCATCTGCTCTGCCTTTCCCTGGAAGACAGGGGCAACATATCCAACGGTCGCGGAGCGGAGCACTCTGTGCCCGTTGCCGTTCACCTTGGGATAGCTGACATGAGTCGGCTGAGGAGAAGGATGTCTGGGGGTCTGATCTTTGAGGTGGTCAACCAGCTTGTGGGTCGGGACATGGGTTGAAGGAGAATCCATCATGGTATCGCCTGAGGACTCGAAAAGTTCGGGGAAACTAGACATGGGGAGGTCAGTTTGAATGGTCAAGCCAGATGCTTTGCGCTTGTAGCCCTCAGGGCTTGGGAGGGGGACGACTACGTCCGCCATGGCGATTGGAGTGAGGCCACAAAAGCCACCCAGGCTAGAATCAATGTGTGTAGAATAAGGTGTACAGGAACACATGGGGAAACAACAAAGAAGAAGAGAACGATGAGGCTCCCAGAAGGGGGTTTTGTAGGGTATTCATGGTGCAATGACAGCCGTTGGCCTTTCATCTCGACCGTGGTATGACCGATATCAGAAAGCTCAACGTGAAAGACAAGAATAACCAGAACATGGAAGGTCCCGTATCAGGTCAAACAGGTCAAGCCCCCGGGATCGGATAAGCCAGGTCGGCCACATATCGTGGCACAGCCATGAGCCAGGGAAGGGAGAAAGGATGACACGGCAAGGTGGCATTGATAACGGCAAGACAAACTCGATGCCGCCAAATTGGGACGGCAGTAAAAACGAGCGCGTTTCGTTTTGTTTTGCGGGAGTGTAAGCTCCGGCATGCGAGTTTGTGCTCACCGCTCCTGAAGCCATGCTTTTGTGTTTCCTCTCGTGCTGATAAGAGAAATACACACCCTTTTGAGGGCGTATGCGAGGGAGAGCGGTACGTACCTGGTCAGAACTTTGCTTGACAGTCGAGATTATCCGCCTAGGCAGATAAAGGGATTGGCAAGTTCAAAGTAGCACAGATACTTGCGCTTAGGTGCTGGTGCTGGGGCGACAGGTATCCGTGTGTATGAGGACCTGTGCTATTTCGAGAAGTTCACAGGCGTCGGTATGGCGATGCTGTGATGCTCTGATGCTGCTCGCTGGCGGGGCGATAGATGAATGGTACCTGGAGGGGCAAGGACCAAAAGCGAGATGCAACGGTCCAGCGATAAGGGTAAATTTGTCTCGGAGGTTTCGAGAGACAAAGAGGACGAGTGTGAAAAGCCGTCAAAGGTATTTTGTTGACAGCAATGCCTAGATTCCTGTTGGCCTGTTAGAACGTGGCTTTCAAGACTGACGAGATAACACGATGCGCATTGTGAAAGGAATTGTGGCCAGGAGCCCTCAATGGTGAGCCACTTAAATGGCTGGTTTCCATGGCGAATTGGCAAAGTTCCCAATCCATCTCCAATCCCTCTTTCCTGATCGACTCATCCTTTCCGTCCGGCCGCCAATGGGAACGCTGACAGGATTCGAATGAGGATCGGGAGAGGTTGCAATCAGAGAAGGAGCAGCCCGGGTACGAAATACTGCGTATTCCATAGTACAGATGATACCAGGATTCATCCCAACATCCAGAGATACGGGACTCGCTTTGCACGCCAGATATCACCCCGAGCAAGAACTCAGGCAACACGCGGCCTTGGCATCCCAGCCTTCGTCGGTGGTATATAATGCGAGCTTCCGCCTTGCCGCGCAAAGGCTGAATTCCCAAGAGATAAGGGAAATAGGGGCAGGGAAGGAATATTCGGATGGAAACATGAAGGTGGTGGGACAGAGGGACAAGATCCAGGGGAGATCGGTATTCGGGGGACGTGACAGGAAAGTGTTCCTGGAAGGGCAGTGTAGTGGTTGCAGCGGCAATGGTGGTAAACCGTGCTGAGTGGTTCAGGGGTGGCCCAAGGATACATTGGTCGTGTCGACGTCACCCAAGGGTAATTGCTAGTGTTATATAGAGGTAATCGCCCTGACATCTCCGCCAAGGGTATTTTTCCAGGTAAAAGGGAAAAATGCCACCTACCAAAATGGACCGGAGTGAGGATATTCGGCCGAGTCTGTTGCACAGAGATAAGACCGGTTTGTTTGTTTGGCTGGAATACAGCTAGGGGTTTCGTCGGTTGGCGGCTTGATATGGAGGTGTTAGAGACCTAGTCGAAGCGAATCCGCCGAGAATGGAACAACAGGCCAAGGCTTATAACAAAAGCTGACAGAAAGAGGGCCTGGAGTTGTTGACCTTTGATCAAGGGATGAAGTGTGTGTATTAAGTATAGTCTTTGAACTCAAGCCTTGTAACTGTTGGCTGACGGGGTGGGCGTCCCAGAGCTCTTTATATGTCTGCACAGTTCCGGCTTATTGGCTTCATCCGTCAATCCATGTTGCTGCAACAAGTGACCTCTAGAGTTGGGGATGGGACTGGAGCTTTACCAGGATGGAAGCCATAGACCGTCGATGGGCCGTGATGGACCCGACCGACATTGACGATGGCTTGTTGACTTGGCTAGAGAGGTAGCGAAAGTAGCTCCCAGGTACCTTCCTGACTGTCTTCACGATGTGCCATGTCGTCAAGAAGGAATGGATGAGTTGCTAACTCTTTCCCCAGAATCCAAAGAGTCCCAATGAAGGGTTTGGGGTCCGTACAGGTACGTACCTGGTTGTGGGCCTTTCTCGCTCTGCCCGCCAACCGAATTCGCCGGACTGCCCACTTGCTGGCCCGTGCTGATTGGGTCACAGGATCGGTACCTGAACGGATGGCCGGGGTTTCCCTCGTTTCTATTTGCAGTCAAGGTACGGGGTACGTACCTCTCCCTCAGTGGGGCACCCCTTCTCCTTCCCCAGAAAAGCGGCTATTCGAGGTTTTCCAGTTGGCCTTGACCACTTCTAGCTTTCTTTCTCTCCGTCGTATCGTCAATGTCGCCATCCAATTTATGGCTGAGCAAAACCTTTGAACTGAAGCCGAAGCCGTCGTGACTCCTCTTCGTGCCCTTCTGCCGTCTTCACTTTCATCAACGCACGCAACTCTTTCGTGCGGTACAGCGCTTCCACTTGCTGTATGAGGACTCGTGGCCATGTGCATGTTACCGGTAAGTGACTTCCATACGGGAGCACCCCTGGGCTTTGATGCTTGTCAAATGGTCAACTGGTCGAATATTTTCTCCAAAAAAGCAAAACATTGCAGGCACTGTTCACCATGATTTTCCCGCTTCTCACCACAGCACAAACGAGCACGTTCTGGAAGCAAGCGTTCAGGTTTTCTGGTGCAGTTTGCCCCGTCGGTACCCAGTGTCGTAATGTACACCGTGCGAAGTTGGGTGTCATTGGTGGGGATCACGACATTTGCCTCTCAGCTTAGGGGGCTCGGTGGGCATCTGGGAAAGGAGACAAAGAGGTACCTCCACAGTATTCGATGCTTCGTATCCCGGATTCTCTGCTGGATGGCAGCTGGACGGGAAGAGATTTTTGCATCGCATGCAGCCCTGTAGAAGCACTATACCGTAGTGAGATGGAGGCAGACTTAGACAGTAGGTGGTGCTGCCGGTGGATTTCGTCAACATCGATCATGTTGTGTGACGGCGTGCTTCTTTACCGCCTCTTGGCTTGGCCATTGAGAATTCAGCGAGCCAAGAAACGCTTACTGGCATCATAACCGTGTATACTGGCCTCATCGGTGTTCTGGAGCCTCTAATCGTCGTCAAATTGTGAAAATTTTGTTTCAAACAAGCTGGTCCCGTGATGGCCCCCAGTACGTAAAAGTTGGAGAAGTTGGAGCTCCCTGGTGGCCTGTACTCCGCGATTACCTCCCTGTTTCTCCAGACGTCGGGACCCACGGCGGCTGCTGAGTGGTTGTCCCGCCGGTTTTCATTACCCCCAGCTTTTCCAAAACCCGTACTTCTTTAGGCCGGTCTGTGTGTGCTGGAGACGCCATCAAGTAATCTGGGGGTAATAGAAACTATCTGGCGCTCCATCTCGAGTCGCACGGGATCCTGGAGTTGGCTCTTATTGCAGGACTAGTAAGCCCAAAACTTGCGCGCTTGGTATGGAGTCAACGAGGTTCCGTATGGGGATCTCCGCCTACCACAGCTCTCTTTCTAGGCTTGACCGCTGATATGCCGTAACGGCCCCCGGGGATTACGACAGCCTCTACCTTCCGGATCGCCTACCGAGGAGGGGCAAGTCTTGCCCCTGGTGACACCGTCGCGGCACCGTCGCTTCCGAGCTGCGAGCTGCGCTTGCGGGAAGGCTGGCGGGCTGGCGGAATCCATTGGGGCTGCTGTCAGGGACGAAAGTTCTGTTGATCTCGTGCCTCATCGACAGGCTTGACAGGGCGCTGTGAAATTCGACCAAAACAGACCTGACGGGTCACGGGAGCTTGGCTTCAGGAATTTTGGCCGGCCGTTGGCATTGTCCAATCCCGCCAAGCAGGGGCAATCCAGGCTTTTTCCCCAGACCCAACATCCTGGCCCGCCAATCCAAACATTGCAACTGCTGATACTCAGACTTCAGGTTCCCCTGACTCTGAGACAGCTTCTCAATGTTGAGAAAATGTACAGCTCAGCTCAGTGTTCGACACGAAACGAGACGGGGAGCACCGCCACGGGTCGAATCCACAACGTTCAAGCATGCTACCGAGAGGAACAAGCGATGTCCCTCGTGTCTCATTGTCCATACCGTTGCTTCATTCAAGCTTTGCTCAGCTGATCAAAGACTTGTTTCCCACGGTAAACATTCCGATCTGCTGATCTATCCGAGAGAACCGTCGTGGGTCTGTCTTACGGTGTATACCCCTAAAGAGTCAATCACCTTTGGCGTCTCGTTTGTCGTTTTTGTTGAGTCTTCAAGGGGCTTGCAGTTCAGGTATCGTAGTCCCTTTTCCAAAACCTTCTGGCCTTGAAAAGCATGCACCGGCAAGTTGTCCTTAAAACCAAGAACAATGGAGGCACGCATATGGCAGAATCTCTGGGCTTTTAGAAGTTGTCGTTACTTTCTGCGAACAGGCCGTGAATCGCGCTGGCACTTTCTCACATGGCAAGGCGCCACCGATGATGCACCTATTGCGGAATGCGGAGACGATGACGCTGATGCTGTGGAGAGGTGAGGGCTTTCGAATTCCAACTTGGCTCTCGAGTTCACGAGACTTGAACCCTCGCATGGTGAAGCTTGCGTGCATTGAACGCAGTGCTTGGAGTTTCCATCGAGTTGGAGGTGATCGTCCTGCTGGAGGCACATGTTTTCCAGGTGTTGACCGTCAAATCTTGGGGTACCTAGGCGGTGAAACAACTGCAAAGCCGCGGACTGGTGCCTCTTGCATGAGAGAATTCACCACGTGGGTTTCATATCCTTCGTCGTCGTCTCTTGTAGATTGGCGGGCGGGAAGTTTTGGTGACAGACGCTTGACAACTGACAGCGTTCCATTGAGATCGGGGGGAAATTGATGGAGACCGGAATCTTTTTATGGTTCAGGCCTTGGAGGTCTGCCCCACCGTTCAGGAGTCCCGTCAGTCCGTCACAAACGACGGGAACAGTTGGTGCGGGACGGTGAGGGGCACCCACGGGCCACGCCAGCCGTTGGCAGCGGGAAAGGTGGGGCATGTTGTTTCCTCTTTGAGAAGAGACGATTGGACCCTCCACTATCGATAGCGACGATGCAAGAGCCTCTCACAACTTCATGGCTGCTTCATCGTGGTCCACCAACAACGACAACCATCCCACCAACTCACCCACCAAGTGGAAAAACATGAGTACCGCAGCGGTTCAAGACGCCCGGAAGCAGGCTGAGGCTCTGGACAATGAGGACCCCATCGCCTTCGTCCGCGATGAGTTCAACATTCCTACCAAGGCCCAAATAGCGAGCTCCCGCTTGGCCGACTCTCACCTAGGTTTGATCGCCAACCATGAACAAGAGAAGTCCCGCTGAGGCACACCAAGATGGGGGCTAATGCTCGGTTCTAGCCGCCTTGCCAGAGTCCGAGGACGATACCAAGTGCATTTACCTCTGCGGCAATTCGCTGGGTGTGCAACCCAAGAGAACAGTCACTCGTCTCAATCAGTATCTCACCACATGGGCCACTCAAGGAGTGCAGGGCCATTTCAAGCCTCTTGAAGAGTCCCCTCTTCCGACGTGGCTTGATGCCGATGCCAAAGCTGCAGAGCTTATTGCTCCCGTTGTTGGTGCCGACGTTTCCGAGGTGGCTGTCATGCAGACCCTGACTGCCAACATCCACCTTTTGATGTCTGCCTTTTACCGCCCCGATATCAATGGTCGTCACAAGATCATCTTAGAGAACAAGGCTTTCCCTAGTGACCATGTAAACAACCCCTCCTTTCAGGCGCCTGTCAGACTGGTAGCGGGATGACTGACAGAATAGTTCTAGTTCGCGGTCGAGACCCAAATTCGCCATCATGGCTTGTCTACTGAAAAGTCCATGGTTCTGATAGAGTCATCCTCCAAGGACAACATCATCACCACCGAGGAAATCTTGTCCGTAATCTCGGCCCATGCTGACAGCACAGCTCTACTCTTGCTCCCCGGTATCCAATACTACACTGGTCAGTTGCTTGACATTCCCGCCATCACAGCTTTTGCCCATGAGCACGGCATATTTGTCATCTGGGATCTCGCCCACGCGGTAGGTAACGTGCCACTGTATCTCCACGACTGGGGAGTAGATGCGGCGGCTTGGTGCAGCTACAAGTACCTCAATGGCGGCCCTGGATGTATCGGCGGCCTGTTCGTCCACACCAACAACAGCGTCGTGACCAAGGAGATCACGGACGAGAAACCTGAGGAGGGCTACAATAACCGCTTGGCGGGCTGGTGGGGCAATGACAAGAAGACGAGGTTTGTCATGGCCAACAAGTTCCACCCCGTGGCCGGTGCGGCCGGCTTCCAGTTGAGCAACCCTAGCATTCTGGACATTACCAGTCTGAGCGCCTCCTTGGAGATTTTCCAGGAGGCTGGCGGCATGGAAGCGCTGAGGAGCAAATCCCTCAAGCTGACCAACTTCCTCGAAGCCACTCTCGGTCAGATGAAGGAGGAAGACCGAGCTCACTTCCGTATCATCACCCCTTCCAAGCCAGAGGAAAGAGGCGCGCAGCTGAGTCTCATGCTCTCCGACGGGCTCCTAGATACCGTCATGAAGGAGCTCGAGGCACGCGGAGTTATCGTTGACGAGCGGAGGCCCAATGTCATCCGGGTCGCACCGGCTCCGTTGTATAACACATTTAGCGACTGCGTACAGTTCGTAGAAGCCTTCTCGGCGGCGCTGGAGGTGGCCACCAAGCGCGCACTTTAAGTGGCTAGGCCCTTCTTCGTTCGTGTATACAAAGTCACATGCTCCGTTATTTTTTTTTCTCCCGCCCCCCGAATCTGTGAATAATGGAAACTGAGATCTGACCAGTCGGGCAAGTTGTTGCAAAACCCATGCAGGTTTAGTCGACCCCGCAAAATGATGAGCGAGTGAGAAAGTGGTTCCAACTGTTCGGGAACCGAGTGTGACTTTCTTCGGATGGGTATTACATCCGGATGCCTTGGGCGAGAAGCAGGAGATTTCGGTGGGCACACCGAGCACATGGACAGACAGCCTTACGTTTTTGTAAACCATGCTATTGGTGGCTAGGTCTGCTCAGGAACGATGTAGTTGTGGTCAATACATGCCGTGCCATAATTCGGTACTTGTGGTCCCGGGTCAGAATTGGATATGCTAAACGCAGACCATTACAACTGACCAACTACAATATTCGAGATCAGCGTTCATTCCCTTTGGTGGTCCAAACATCTCTGATTCCCAGTATCAATCCGGACCAAGCACTCTTTCCATTTCAGCCATACTCCCTGTGTCTCGGAATCTTCGGTCAAACTTCACTGCTCTCATGAGGCCAAATGTTGACGATTCAAGAGACAAGTCACGACAGTATATGTCATAGCCCGAGATATCCCCCGAACTATCAAGAACTCCCACCGTCAAACACCGTCCCATAACATCATGATCAAGACCAACAGCCCTACACTAATGAGCTGCCAAAAGCCAAAATGAAGAGCATGGTCTCTGAGCAAAGAGTACCAGAGCTGAGGTTCCGAGAGCCCATATCCTCTTAATTGCTGACTTTTGCATACCGTAAAGTAGCCGTCGTTCCTTATCCAACAAGAAATCAGTGATTCATCCTCGTCATACTTACCTACTACAATCGCGCAACTCAGTCTAATTCGCAACTCGAACTCGCATCATAGCCAACAGGACTGACTGAACAGATGGTCAACAGCAGATTGACCATGACCACATACATGTAGGTACTCTAGGATTTCGGACCTCCGTAGTCCGCACGGTACCTACCGAAACGAGTTATCACAAGCATATAGAGATGACGACACTCGAATGCATAGGAGACATAAGATTCGCTTATGCCACCCTATTTTACGAGCTCTTCATAGAGTGAGTGTACCCATGATTTTCACTTTGCCACTCACTGATTTCCAGAAAATAAAAACAAGAAAGGTATTTGGCTACAACAAAAAAGGCTCATACTTGGCGATCGCCGTTCAATAACCCAATACTGACATGCCCATGTGGCATACCGTATAATCTCGCGAGATTCGCCAAATACAATGTGCAGAAAAGGAAGGGTTGAAGGTCTGCCAGTTGCATTTGGCGGCCGTCAATGAGCATGTACGTGGTTGTCGGACACCTTTAACCCTGCATTGTCTTTGGCGAATTTCGCGAGATTATACGGTAGTAACAGAACCGGCCCCGGTTCCACGACATTTGTTGTCCTCGTGTGATGTGCACAGGACCCTTCCTTCTCTTCGGACTCAAGCCCCCTAAACAAACGGAAACTCGGAGAGCATCAAGTAATGGTATGGTTAAAAACCACCATCGGAGAGTTGAGAATCCGAGGAGTGAGGGCTTACACCAGGGGTTTGTCACTCTGATAGGTATGCTGTATGGTAGGTGACGCGAGTCCCGGTCATTCGATTTCGGCGTGGCAACAAGATGGGGGAGTACCTATTCAGTATAGACCTGGGAGCAACTATTTCCGTTTCATACGTAATGGGCCTGATAAGTAGTCAGTTAGGTGGATTGGTGTAACAAGCATGAAGTTCCGTTCTAGATACCGCTACCGCTCTCTCTGTGGCGGAAGGTGAGAGACTACCCAGGTGTGTCTTATGACCCTTGTACTTCGGCCTCCGGATTACCTGGCTAGGTTATGCCGATGCTCTACTATCGCTACCTATGTTTGGTCAATGCTATGCCCTGCTCCTGGGTTTCTGATGAGTCTGTGACTGGAAGGTCGCTGAAGTCTGAATATGGGAAACCCCTTATTTGCGAAGCAAGAGCCAAGTGTCTTAAACGAGGGATGGATATGGTCGCTGGAAAGTCTCACAGGATGTGGTTTCTGCTTCCTTTTGGCTTAATAAATGGTTCCCGTATTCCCAACATACAGTTTTAACCTTGCGCCACTGGAGGAAGACGTTGATAGAAACAGAGATCAATACCAAGGTCGAAACGGACAGGTCAACATGAACACGAACAACCGAGTTGGAGCATTTGGCGGCTTGCCTTTTTTGTCTACCTCCAAAGTGTATATATTCTGACCTTGACTTTACGTCAACGTAGGGCGGGCGCTGATCATTCTGGGCGAGACAGTTCATCGACTAATCTTCCCATCAAGCCTGGCATCAGCCTCGAATGGCCATAGTAATGAAGTCAAGTCGGCTGGTAGAAGCGGGTAACGAGCCTATTCTCAGCCATCAGTTCACATGATACCATTCACAACGACACAACTGCTTGCGCTCTGGGTGACGTCAAATTGGTCTGGTATCATTTCATATCTTCTGTCCGTGCAGTGCTGTCCCATATCTCAGAGACAACAAAAACGATGAGAGGCCAACGGCTTGGCTTTCCTCATCACAACGCCGTTCCCGTCCGTTGTTTGTATGTCCAGTGGTAGTAGATGCCTGGTTTTCGTAGTGTGTGCCTTGACAAGCAAGCCGCGTTTGTATTTTCACTAGCCTGGGTTGGTTGCTAGCAGAAAACCCGCTGACCAAAGAAAGCAGAACCCATTTCCCATTGAGACCGCCTTGAGATGCTCCCAAAATCACACATGACGAAAAAAGTGCCCCCTTATGACGATGAAGACAGGAAGATTTAGACCTCGGTGGTAACCTTGGCCTTGGCGTTGGTGACCTTGACGGAGAGCTGCTTAGCGCGAGCGATGATCTCGATGCGCTTGCGGGAAGAGACGTTGTGGGCGATCCTAGAATTGAGCATGTCAGTGATGGTCCATTGCTTCGCCCTCGCCCGTTGCCTTCATTATCCATTGGATGCCGCGAGGGCGAGTCCATGATCCCCATTCCGGCTCATGTCCCAGGGGTATTATATCTCGAGGTAACGTACTCAGCAGCGTAGGTCTTGTTGTGCATGAGGAGGAGCTCGACATCCTTGACGTTGCTGACGAGGAAAGCCTTGTGGCCGGAGGGCATCATGTGGCGGGTCTTCTTGTTGGAGCCATAGCCGATCTAGAAGCGCGAAGCAAGTCGCGTCTGGTTAGCCCTTTGATCGGTTTGAACTTCCCAATCGTTTTCCCAACGATCACCCGCGGAGCGTCTCTCTGTCCGGGGACTTAGGACAATCCAATCCTGCGGTCCCCGTCCAAGTTCGCTCCGCCTTCCACCACCACCGGATTATGGCCAAACGTACCGAGGGCATAGCAAGAGTGCCCCTGAAGCGACGGCGGACGCGGTTATCGATACCCTTGGGCTTGCGCCATGCCGAGTCCACACGCATAAAGCGATCACTCTGGTGGCGCATGAAGCCCTTAGAGCCTGTTCACCAAAAATTCGTCAACATTCTAGTTCCATTGGTGTTCGCATCGCTCTTTCGTCGATTTGTGTTGGGAAACGGCGGTGATGGAGTTGTCGGCCCTCGAGCTCGAGCTCGCGAGGGGATTTCCATTTTTCGTCGGTCGGAGTCGCGGAATTGAGGAAAAACGTACGCTTCTTGACGATAGGGACGTGCTTCTTGGCGGCAACCATCTTGAATATGCTGTTAGAATTGCTTCGTTATTGAAAACACGATTGAACGAGGGTGCCTACCTTGACTGTCTGTTATCGAGTGATGGGGGACTGTTTCGGCGGGCAGCGTCACGGCGGGACCTGGGGAAAAAAATCGAGAAAGTGTAGCTGGTGGGCTTAGGGCTGTGCGAAATTGTTAAGGCGAGGCTTGGTACGCGGTTGTGATTCGCCAGACTTTTGCTGGTGTGGGTCACCATCTGGGTGGCAGTTGTAAGTCTTGGCAGTCAAGCCGCACCTGGATATGGCGCCCAGCCGTCTGAGACCATCTCAGGAGCTGCCTCTTTCTTTGTACGCAGTGCATCTCGCCGGCAACAATTCTATCACCACGACTATGAAATGCACATTCGATTGGGAGTCTTTGCGGATCCATGAATCATTTTACTGAATTATCACGGAACGCGTCGGTCGCTGTCATTTTTCAGCATTCGTGACCCGGGACTCTATCTTGAGTTCAACCTCCTAAGACCAAACACATGACATAGATCCACTCAAGCGATAAGCATCATCGTTTACAGTTCAGCAATGACATTGGGAACCTTCGACAAAACACCAACATACATTCACCCCGAATCATTATCAATCAACTTTTATCCATCCGCTATCATATCGCTGGGTATTGAGCATACACACAAGTCTATGTGTCAAGTCTAAAAGATAGGGATGATTCCGGGTGGTTGATGGGCAATGCTGCTTGACGTCTAAAAGCATGCTGCCTCCCTAATTCCCTAATGGTCGCTCAAGATGTGTAGAAACGGCCATTGCTCCATGTTGACCAAAACCCTCCAAAACTGCCATGTCCTGTGGCAGTGGGAGCAAATGGCCTGCCGGATCAGTGGTGGGAACTTGTAGTTCGCTTATCCAACCGGGCTAGGCCATGCTCCTAAGCATACTACTGCTGGACCGCTCCGCAACAGAGCTATATGAAACCGCAAAAGGTTTGAAGAAAACGGCTACTCTGGTCGTGCGTTTCTCGGTGTGGCAGCTGGGCGACCGTCAAGTCCTGGACTGTCCCACTCGTTTCCAGCCACCCACGCCGAGTTCGATACTTGGCGCGTTGTACTCGTTGAGGGACGATGGCGACGAGGACTTTGCCAATGCTATAGGTATATAGCACTCCCTACAGAGTGTATATTTCCTTACTGGGTAGCGCACTGGGGACCAGCATCCTCCTCATCGTCATCATCCTCCCAATCGTTGCCGTAGCGCGGGTCACCTTGGTGAGCGCCCATCTAGGTTCGAATGTTAGCAACAGCTTCTCTCCTTATACATCTGAAAAACCATCATACCTGTTGGATATCGGCACCAGTCTCATATTCAACGTCATCCATCTCCTCGGCCTCGATAGGCTTGGCCGGAGGAGGTAGGAGCTTCGCCAAAGCGTCATACTGGCTGTCGTCCTGCAGCCAACCATCTTCAGGGAACTCGATCTTCACAACGAGGTACAGATCGCCCTTCATATCACTCTTCTTCACGGGCATACCCTCACCGGGGACCTTGAGGACGTCGCCGGGACGGAGAACCTTGCCACGAGGGTGGTTAATGTGAATGCCTCTGCCGTCAAGGTGCTTGACAACGACACGCGAGAAACCGGCCAGAGCCTCGATAAGGGTAACCTTGAGGTCGGCTGAGAGGTCATGGCCGATGCGGGTGAAGACGTCATGGGGCTCCTCGACAAGGTGGAAGATGAGATCTCCTGGCGCCTGGTCCGGAAGCTGGTCTGCCTCTCCTTCCAAGACGATCCTATCGCCCTGCATGGAGCCGGGAGGAATGTAGAGCTCGAGAGCCTTGGTCTCCTTGCAAGTCCGCTTGCCCTTGCACTTCTTGCAGCGATCCTTCTCCTTATAGAACATACCAGAGCCAGAGCAGTGATCGCAGGGAATGACAACTTGACGGGCCATGTTGGGGCCGATGGACTGGTAGGCCTCCACAAGACCGCGGCCCTTGCAGCGCTCGCACTTGTTGGGCTTTACGTTCTCCTTAGCACCGCTGCCCTTGCACTGGCGACAGACAACCTGCTTCTCGGCAGCGAACTTGACAGTCTTGCCCTTGTAGAGCTCCTCGAGCGTAACCTTGTAGGGCTGCTCCTCATCCGGGCTGCGCTTGGGGCGTCTAGGCATGCCGCCCATACCGCCCATGCCACCCATGCCGAACATGGCAGCAAAGATGTCATCCATGTTGGCGCCGTGGCCGCCGTGGCCGCCTCCCCTCGAGGGATCGAAAGCAGCCATACCGTGGACATCGTACATTTCGCGCTTCTCTTCGTCGCTGAGAATCTCGTACGCCTGTTGGATGGTCTTGAACTTGGCTTCGGCTTCGGGGCGCTGGTCCTCGGGGACCTTGTCCGGATGGTGGATCAATGCGAGCTGGAGATCAAAGAGTCAGCACAATATCTAGAAGCATAGGTACGCGATGGTATGCGTAGTGACTTAACCGACCTTGCGATAAGCCTTCCTGATGTCATTCGGGCTCGCCGACTTATCGACGCCGAGAATGGCTACACGAAGATTAGTTAGCACATGGTGAAACCGAGTGCCAGCATGGCGGTTAAAGGGTCTTCGGTGGCAGCCTCACCATAAAGATCGAGGTCGCCCTCGTCGCCGCTGCTGCTGCTCATGTTGATGGCGTTTCTTGGGGGCTTTAACGCTGTAAAGTGGTTTTGTCTAGTTGAAGGATCGGTCGGTATACCCCGTCAAGAATCCGGATGACAAAAAGGGCAGCTCGCAAATGACGAAAGGCGGGGAGATTGTGGTCTTTGCACGAGTCGGACACTGGACGGATGGAGGAGGGATGGAGGTTCTTTTCGTTTTCAGGTTCGTATGGGAAATTTTAGGCGGCCCCGCGTTGGATACCCGGAGCTCTGGGTACTTCACCTGCTACTGCTCTGCTGCTCCTGCTGAGTCAAAGTTTGTTTGAAAACCCACAGTCAACCTTTCTTTGCAAAAAGTGATCAAATGAAGAAAAACATGTACTGCTGAGACCTTTGCGCAGAAGAAAGAACCATAAGACCCTGGAAAGTATGTCGTGAAGGATTTGAATGCAGTTTCCCCTCATGGCAGGCGGTATCCGTATCGCCGTGTTCCTGATAACGACGGGCGGGAGTTGTCAGTGCCATCCATTTCGCCCACCAGCCCGCGTTCATCTTTTTGCACATGCACGGGCATGCACTTCAGGCTGCCAAACACGATCACTTGTTGTCTGCCTACCAGGCGTTCTGTCGTGTATTGTGGTTGGTTCATTTCTTCAAGTTGTGTTATTATGACCCTTAACATCCAATTCACGAGCGCTTGGTCATAGACTCCTGCTGGTATCGCCAAAATAATTTGACGATAACGATATCCATGTTCCAAACGACCTGGACCCTTGACTTTCCAGTCTCTTCAGAATTGAAGTGCGATGAGATGCCAAGACTGCAGAATGACACCCCAGGGTCCACTTAAAGCTCAGCTCGGTTCAAAACTGGGCTCCACAACCCCAAGTATCCACTTCTGCCACTGGACCACGGGTCGCACCGCCACATCACGAACTTTAGTGCTGCTTCTTGGCATCAATCTTCAACCGCTTCTGTGGCTGTGACATTCAGTTCAGTCTTGTTCGCGACGGATCCAAACCTCACTAGTAGATACCTACTACCTTGCTCCCTCTACCTTCTCATGCTGTTAGTCTCAGCATCTGACTTCACAGTTCAAGAAAGGAGGTGACAGTCTACAAAATGAGGGGCATAGGGGTACTGTTGAGAAGGCCAGGCTGCCCTTCTCTTGCGAGTGTTTCAAGTCTTTCTTCGCGGCGTTTGTGGTTCTCATCGACAAGATCCACCCTCTGCCCCCATCAAACGCAGCAACAACAAGGAGAAGGCGTCTTGAAAGGATCCAAGAAAAGACAGGCTGAGGATAAGTGGAAGCTGCCAGACTCACCATGCCGTACCCGTTTTGCGCCCTCGCCTACCGGATATCTGCACCTGGGATCTCTTAGGACCGCTCTGTTCAACTACCTCCTTGCCAAGGCAACCGGCGGCCAGTTCATCCTCCGCATCGAAGACACAGACCAGGTGATTACTACTCAACACCTTGTACCCCAGGATCACAACTGGTCAATTCGTAGAGGGAGCAGAGGCTGATGCTCTCTATTGTATCCGTAGACTCGCCTTGTACATGATGCTGAGCAGAGGCTATTTGAAGATTTGAGATGGGCCGGTCTCTCTTGGGATGAAGGCAGGCGATGACCAACCCATGAATCTGCATTTGTCTTTTATACCTGCCTCCCCATACTAACTCTGCTTGTGTCGTGAAAAGGCCCCAATGTTCAGGGACCATATGGACCGTATAGGCAGGTAAGACGCACAGCAGCTCTGATATATCACGGGTAGGACTTGAGTTAACCAGTTACATATGCCAGTCCGAACGACTGTCCCTTTATGATGAGCACGCCAACCAGTTGATCCGTGAGGGCAAGGCGTACAGATGCTTTTGCTCGCCCGAGGATCTTGAGCGTCACAAGCAGGCCGCACACGAGTCTGGGGAGTCGACAGCATACCCCGGCACATGCCGCAACGTTTCGCTAGAGGAATCCGACGACAGAGCTTCCAGAGGGGAGAAGTATGCCGTGAGATTTAAAAGCAGCGAGAAGCCCATCATCATCGAGGATATCCTCTATACCCGTTACCGCAAGAGGGAGCCCGAGGAGGACTTCATCATCCGGAAGCGTGACGGGTTCCCCACCTACCACTTTGCCAACATCGTCGATGACCGGGCCATGAAGATCACTCATGTCATCCGTGGTGCCGTACGTTCTCTCCTCTTCACCCTACGAATCTCCTTCTACATATGCTAACCCGTAACCATCCAGGAATGGCTCATCTCAACCCCCAAACACGTCGAGCTGTACAACGCCTTCGGCTGGGAACCGCCCAAGTTCGCCCACGTCGGCCTCCTCGTCGACAAGGAGCGCCAAAAGCTGAGCAAGCGCCACCAGGGCGTCGACATGTCATGGTACAAGGACAACCAGATCCCTCCCGAGGCTTTGCTCAACTTCGCCGTCCTGCTCGGCTGGAGCCAAAAGAGCGGCGAGCCCGATTTCATGACGCTCCAGGACATGACCGATCGGTTCTCCTTCAAGTTCAGCAAGGGCGACATCGTCGTCTCCTTCGACAAGCTCCCCTACCTGCACGAGAAGCACTTTGAGCACCTGATCCGCCAGGAACCGCCCAACCTGCCGCGTCTGCAGAGCTACCTGATCAACCCCATCAGGGACATGATCACAGCTGTTGAGGACGCCCGTGCCGGAACCCCTAAGGGAGCGCTTGAGGAAACAACCGTCCATAACATCCCCCTCCCCTCCCTCGCCTCTCCCGTCCCCCAAATCCAAGAGTCTCCGGCTGCCGCCCAGGACTATATCCTCCACGCCCTGCGCACAGCCAAGTCCATCAAGCCCGACCTGGAGCTCTTCCTCTCGCAGAACCGGTACGCATTCTGGACCATCCCGCCCGCGGTTGTCTCTCAGAACTTCGACGAAACCCCTTCCCTCCAGCACGCCAAGCTCGATGGCGAGGAGGCCAGTCCCAGTGTCGCCATGCGCTTCATTGTCGAGCAGCTCAGCGACATTGTCTCCTCCAAGGGGGAAGAGGGATCTCCGGAGGAGAAGAAGACCGAAGTGGAAGAATGGACGGCCGAGAAGATCAAGCCGATTGTGGATGCCACGGTCAAGGCCGTGAGCGTCAGCGATCCGGAAACGGGCGAGCCGATCAAGGGCGCGGGCGGGTACAAGTTCTTGCGGTGGGCGCTGTTGGCGGGCGATCATGGACCGGGACTGGTGTCGGTCATGGAGCTGCTGGGTAGGAAGGAGACGATGAAGAGGCTGATTACTGCGTACAAGGTCGCTTTGGAGAAGGAGAATAAGGAGGAGAAGGATGCGAAAAGTGGTTCCGGCACAACAGATGCGTTGGCGACCGGTCTTGGACTGGCGTTGTTTGATCTGTTCTAGAAGAAGAGGAAAAGAATGATGGCTTGTAAAGTATTGATGGTGATGGGCCTGTGGCTGTAGCTATCGCGCCGTGTATTACTATTTCTCGTTTGGGTCTACCTGTCCATCTAGTCTTTCACGGATAGTTCCAAGCTCTCATGCTCTTCTCTTCTCTCGTGGGTTCATGGGCATGCATTGACTATCATCTCCAGTTCGTACATTCGGTCCTGTTGCCCCTAGCGACTCTCATATGCCTCCCTCAACACTCCCTGGGACTCTTTAACATGTGGATATCTCTTCGTGCTACCCATGTTGGCGCTATTGCTTTTCCTTTCCGTCCCAGATGCTCCCGCAACGATGTTCACCTTTGCCCTCACTTTAACCTGAAAGGATATCATGGGTTTTCAGGCTGAGCACCCTGCGCTTTCCCACGGCAGCCACAGCCAAACACCTTGCCTTTGACCTCCGCAGCCATCAGTCCAGACCTCTCTTTCGCAGCAATCTGCTTCACCTCGCCGAGCAATTTTTCAATGTTCTGATCGACCGCATCACTCTTAGGCCCCCTTTGCCCAGTCGTTGAGAGCGTCTCCAGCGTTTTCGATGCCTTCGAAATACGGGATCCCAAATCCACCAATTGGCTGCTCGTGTAGTCCCTGTTGGTAAGCAGCGGGTTCTGGGCAAGCGTTTGCACCCAGTACTTATTCCACAACGTCTCCAACAGCTTGCTATCGAGTGTGCTCTTGAAGTGTTCAACATCGAGCGCGTAATACCGATGACTGTGCGCGCCAAAGTCCTCCACCTTGTTCAGAGGGACGCTCTGTCCATCACCCGTCGTCGCGTTTGTCGCCGCGGGAGGCTTGACTCCTTCTGGAATCGTCCTAAACGCGCCAATCTCAACCTTGTTCTGGCTCACCGTCCTGTCCGGGTCAATCACCACCGCCACGAACGGCTCGTTGAACTGCTGCTGCAGGGACTGGGTGCCGACGTCGATACCACTCAGCCAGCAGCCGTAGCCGGGGTGTGAGTGGTACCAGCCGATGACATTCTCGAGGCGGTTCTCCTCACGGCAGAGACGGAGGTATTCGACCATGTACTCGTTCGCTTCGTCCTGGGCGTTGACGCGGGTTTCTGTTCCCTCCACGGGTAAACGATAGGCGTCGGTAATCACCATGGTGCTGCCCTCAATGTAGCCCTGCATCATGCCCATGACCTCAAGATTGCCGCCGGAGCGGGCGTGCATGACCATCTTGATCATGGCAACGGAGGAGATGCGGACGGTTTTGAAGTATTTGTAATCGGTAGTCCATGGTCGCGAGTTTACAACGGCTTTGTGAGCATCTGCGTCGTAGGCGTAAAGGGCATCGCGTTGGACGTCCACAAGGCCGGGGTTCGGTGGCAGCTCTGTGATGGGCATGAAGAGGTTAGCTACGGTGGAGAGCTAGTTATTGGCACAATGAGGTTCGTCACTTTGCGCTCACGCAAAACTTACCCATCTTGGTCAAACGGGTGCTCTCGCCGAGCTAGTATAAGGTGGCTTGGGGTATACGCGAAAGTTTGGATGCAATATCGTAATCCTTTTTAGAGAATTGGTCGTGATAGATGTTGTGAGAGGATCGGATAGCTGTATCAGATACAATCGAAGGAAAGTAGCAGTGTCCGTCGCATTGGATGGTGCTGTGTGTAACAGGCAACAAGCCGGAAGCACGTTGAGGTGGGAGCTTGATTGCGGCAGGCGGGCAGTGGCATTCGACCTCATGTGGGGTCGAATTACGGCGGGGCTCTGGGGGGTCCAGCGAGCGATACGGGGGTTGGTGAAGCTGATAAGCTTCTAATCAGCCATCAAGGTTCTACTGCACAGGCACCACCTACAAGAGCTCCCGGTCTGGACATCGAAGCCACGGCAATGCCATTTTCGAACTTGGTGTGCCAAACTACAGCATAAAAATTCAATAGTGAAGAAGTGACGTTATGGTTAACGCGGCCTAAGGAGTTGAAAGGATTATCGTAGGCAGAAAGTGTATGAAATATCTTCGTAGGCCTCTGTGATGTTACGGACAGCATCATCTCTCACAACGCCTCGTATAGCATCACAGTACACCTTAGAACCGCACATCATCATCATAACAACAAGAAGCACCCGTCAAGACTTTCACTCAGGAAGTTCCTATTAATCAATACCACAGCCGCTCCTAGGAAGTCTACGCCGGGTAGCCGTGTCCTATCACACATATGTCTGTCCTGTCTTCGAACTTTTCCTCCGTACCGCTCAACAGCCTTCCGCGAATATCACTATCTCCCATACCCATTCCCTTCCCTTCTTCGCTGTGGCATCCTTTTAATCCTTCTCATCACTCGCCAAAACGGCCTTAATCATCGCGTTACCCACCTCCACCGCTCCTTTGAACCTCGGCTCGAAGAAAGCCTGGGTAACCGCAAACCGCTCCCTCCACGTCTCGAACTGCCTCAGACCCACACACTCGGCCCAACCCGCCGCCGCAATGGTAAACTGCAAATCGTCCCTTCTGAAGGTGCGATCCTCGATGCCGACCTTCAGACACTCATCCAGCAAGCCCGGGGTCCTGAACAAGTGCTCGGTGACGCCCAGCCAGAGCCGGAACAGGGGAGTCGAGCAGATCATGTGGTCGTAGGGGACGATGCCCAGAGCGCTCCAGCAGTCGACCATGGCAAGCAGCGAGAGATGGTTGTTGGGCAGGGACGGGGCCGAAGGGCCGCCGTTCTCGGGCTGGCGGAGGCTGAACTGGTCGAGCACGTCGTCGCGGAGGAGAGGCTTGCTCTCCCACTTGGGGCTTCCCTCGGCGCCGAAGACCTTTTCCTTGGCGGCGTAAACGCGGGCGCGGAGCTCGTCGGCGCGGCCCTCCAGCATGAGGTAGAACAGCTCGGTGGTGGACTTGGCGAACTGGGCGATCTGCTTGTGGGCTTCGGGGTTGAGGATGGCGAGGCCGGCGTAGACGTGCCACTTTTGGGCGTAGATGCGGAGCATGAGGTTGATCTTGACGTTTTCGATGCCGCCGACATAACGGGTTCCCTCCCAGGGGAATTGCTTGGTTGCGTGCCAGGCCTTGCCCATGCTGAGGAAAGCAGCGTGGGTGACGGCTTGGGTATCGGCCGTGATGCGGTCATGTTCCTCGGCACTCAGGTAGACAACCTTGGAGTTGAGGCAGGAGAGTATATGCTCGACCTTGGAGAAAGATTCATCGGAGGCGCGATGCTTGATGAGCACCAGCGGTTGGCCCTTGGGATCGACATTGGGGCCGTGGAGGGAATGGCAGGATACGATGTCAACGTCGGCGGGCAGGTACTTCTCGAAGGCCTTGATCTCGGGATCTTTACAGGACGTCTGGCCGCCAACAATGGCGCCGAGCTTGGTCGCTAGAAACGAAGCACACGGTTAAAGTCAAGTCTACGCGACGGAGAGAGAAGTCATGGCAACACACATGGACCGTACTGGGCGACGACACGATCAATGACCGCCGCCTCAACACTATAAATGATATAATCGCTGGCGCGAGACACGAGATGACCGTTGCGGAGAATGTGTATATTGTTCTAGAAAGCAAGATATGAAGACTCAGCACTGATTCTGCTGTAGAGATCGGGGTAAATGTGTGCGACCGTACATTCCCCTCGAAATCTTTCACCAGCTCATCATATTTCTCTTCCCTATCGCAGGCCATGATCCTGGAAGGGATCGTTAGCCAACCAACTCCTGATCATGCTACAACACGAAGGATCTGTTGATATCTGGTCAGCGCGAGTCCCTTACAAATGCTGATAGATAAAATATGGGTGAAGATGTTTGTGTTTCAGACGAAAATTGTAAGGTAGCTGAGATTTTTCATCATGGAAAGCTCCCTACACAAACTGGGACCGGAACGGTTGACCAGCCGTGACAGGCGCGATACTCTAGCCAAATGCACTCAAGTCATCATATTAGAGGGTGATGGGGAATGAGAAGAAATGTTGCAACATACCATTTGAAAGTCTGTGTGATGTTTGCTGAAGGTTAGTCGCGGTGGAGTGGCTCCGCGAAGAGCCTGGGCGTGATTGACGATGTATGAGACGAGCGAGGAAGAATTATTACCTCCAACCTGCGCTGCTAAGTCTCCGGGCATACATCTTGCCCATATCGCCCACACCAATCAGGCCGACAGTGAAGCCAGCCATCTTGGGGGGTTCCGATGTCGATGCCATGTTGATGCGTGTGTTGTTTCTCTTTCCAGCAAAACCGGTAGCTTGCGGCAGCTATCACATCGTCAACACAAGATCCTCGGCACCAATGAAGCACTCGCTCGATGATCGCGCGAGAAGCAATGGGTGAGGTTGCGTTGCTGTTGCTGGCTTTGTGATTCGGAAGGAAGAAATTTTCAATTCGGGGAGCCGCATGGTGGGCTTTTAAAGTGACTGGAAAATCTTGGGGCCTGTCCCCACTTTGATTTGCACTTGAAAGCTCGGGCCACCTTGACCCGACACCGCAAATGGAACCACCCCTCCGATCTTAGCGGACCGAACCAGGACTCCACCGATGTCCCGGCCCGGCACCGGCTGCGCGCGGAGGCTGCAATGAATGCCGTCATCCTTGTCACGATCAAAAGACGGGACGTTTCTAGGAAAACAAACGAATTACCATCATCCCACCTCGCTCAGTCTACTACTCGATAACTCATATCAGAATGCTGCTACTCTTCGCTCTTGGGTCTAACGGTTCCGGCCAGCTAGGCATCGGCCACAAAGAAGACGTTTCCGTTCCAAAGGATGCCCATTTTGATGCAGACCTTCCGGCTACCGCCTCCATCACTAAGATTGCCGCAGGAGGTAACCATACAATAATCTTGACTACGACCGGCGACATCTACTGGAGCGGAGACCCAAACACAGGTGCCTGCGGCAAGTTCACCCAAACGCAAATATCGCAGCCTCCTCGATTTTACCCCGGCGATCTTTCATCTGTGTCATCACCCCAAGACCCGTTCAGGGTAGGTCTCGTTGCAGCTACCTGGGAAGCGAGCATCCTCACCCGCCTGGATGCCCAAGGTCGCAACACCAGAGTCTACTCTTGTGGCACCGGCCTGAAAGGCGAGTTGGGCCTGGGCAACTTCATCTTCCGTACGGCTACTCCGTCTCTTATCCCAGATTTTCCTCCTCCGGACACCGAAATTGTCGATCTCGCCGCTTGTATGGGCCATGTCGTTGCAGTCTTGAGCAATGGTGACGTTTGGGGATGGGGTAATGGCCGGAAGGGTCAGATCGGAGCGCCGGAGGATATCGTTCACTCACCCCGGAAAATCGAGGGTTTGAGCTTTAAGGTTGTGAAAGCGGTGTGTGGAAAGGAGTTCACATGTTTGCTTGGAAGCCAGGAAAGCGGTAACATCATGGTCCTTGGTTCAAACAAATGGGGAATCAGGGCTGAAGCCCCGGACCAGGTTGTCGAATGGCGAGAGGTTGGTGCTAGTTGGGGCAATCTGTTCATCTTGAAGGCAGATGGAAGCTTGTTGAGCTGGGGCCGTAATGACCATGGTCAACTCGCTCCCGCGAATCTACCTCAAACCAAACATATTGCGGTGGGGAGCGAACACGCACTGGCCTTGAGCGAGGAGGGTGATGTTACAGCCTGGGGATGGGGTGAACACGGCAACTGCGGACCGCTCAGTAGTTCGGATGTCACAAAGGGTCAGCAGAACGTTATTGCGTCGTCCAAGTTCATCCCTCCGGGCGCTAAAATAACCACCATCGGAGCCGGATGCGCCACCAGTTGGGTGGCAATACAGATGCCGTCAACTTAGAGCCCTAGGAACAGTCAAAGGAGATGCCGAGGAGGACTGATAAGTCGTACGTGACAGTACATGAACAAAACTACCCCCCTAAGCGCTGCTTGGTTTACTTGGTCAAGAGGAAAACAAACCAAAGCGCCGAACCTGGTCGCCAGTTAGTAAAAGAACAAGCATAGGGGACCACATATTACATGCCTCGGAGAGCTGCTGGGTTGGCTCGAGTCCCCCAGCAAGTCTGTCTGGTTCATTGCCGGGCACAGCCGGTCTTGCCAGTAAACTACTAATTCGCAAGGACGACGGGTTCTGGATTGGATGTTAGCGATCTTTTTTCTGAAGACTAGAGGGAAATGACGTAAAAGTACCGGTTCGCCCGTTGCATTCCACTCGACTCGAGCGTTGTCCACCTCATCTTCATCCTCATGATCCACGGGCTCCCATTGCTGGTCCTCGTCGCCTTGCTCAACGAATAACGGCGAATCGGATCGATCAGACCTGGCGGTCACCGGGGGTCGAGGCGGTACGGGTGGTGGTCGAATTTCAAATTGTGTCTGTCGTGGTCGTGGAGGTGTCTTTTGTTGAGGAGGATTCTGCGCTGGCTTTGGAACTTCTTTGGCCTGATTGCTTGCAACAGAGCCGTCAGGCTTAGACGCAGGACTCGGACCCGGACCCGATTTTGGGGTCTTTGAAGCCCTTGCCCTGGTATTTTTGTGCTTCTGGGTGATGGCATCCTGTTCTCCAACCGTCATGAGGATGAACTCACACAGGATACCGTCTGCACTATAAGATAACTTCATCGGGCGTCCGGGTTCCGAGTAGTAGGTTGCGAGCTCTCCGCTAGTTATTTGAGCGTGTTGGAGAATGGCACGGAAATCCTTGACACTAATGATGATGTGAAGTTTGTCTTGAACATCAACCTCGTCAAACTCGGCCATTTCCACAGAAATGTTGGTGTGAAGCGGCTTCTTGAGGACAGCTTTTCACGCCATTGTCAGCATCGTCCAACTTGGCTTGAAGAGATATCTCACGAACCTTCATTGCTATGAGGGCCACGCTTCTGCACCTTGTCCGTGAAGCAGGTGAAGTTCACAACATGATCATCGTCATCCGTATTGATATCAAGCAATTCAATACCCGGACCGAAATGATCCATGAGTTGTCGCAGTGTGTTGGATGAGATCGACCAGCGATTCCCAGCCTCGTCCTTATCAAACTTGGCATGAGTTGGTGGCTTTGACTCGAACGGTAGAGAATGAGACGCGGTGATTCCTGTAACATTATGAGCTTTGTGGGTATGATGACCATGATCGGAGCGTTACATACCGTTCCTGCAAGAGACTCTTGCAATCAACCGGCTCTTCTTGCCAGGGCCATCGTCAATGGCAACATCACAGCGCTCTATGGAAGCATCTTTATCCCGTGCAGAATCACCACCTTGGCGAGACCGAAAGATGGACAAGAGGGACTGATAGAAATCGTTAGTAAATACCCAGGCACAGAGGTCTAGGAGCGACCACTCACTCGGATATAGAGCTGGCAGAAGAATCTGTCACGATACTGGGCATTTCCCTCGAAATGGTAACGAGAGAAGAACCTGTTGGCGGCAAAGGTGAAGCAAACGTATGCTGACTTTGAAATGTTGAGAGTGGTCAAGGTAAGCTAAGAGACAAATAAGTTAACAGCTGTAACATCTCGAGAAGAGAAGATATCTTGGTGAACCCTTTACGAACCTACCTTGTCCTTTCTTGCTTCCAAGCAAACATCATCACTGAACTTGTACATGCAGGCGAGGGCGTCGTGGAAAACAGACACGCCTTCCTCGCTGAGCGTGAAGTTCAAGATTACCATTTTTGGCCGCCGTCGCGATTAGTCGATCGATTTATCTTCTTTTGGCCAGGAAGAGGTTTTTCGGTTCCAAGTCCAGCCACTCAATCCCTCGCATCCAGTCAGCGATTTCTCTTGTGGTTGCCTGACAGAAGGACGGGGGCCTGGACTGGAGTGTGATGGAAAATAAGTCAAGGGCCAAGGAGTGCAGCTGCCGTGGAGTGCTCCCAGGTCCTGCGTGATGCGAAACGCTGTAGCAAAGGCAAGTAAACAAGGAAGGTGCAACTGGTTGCGCTCGGCTGCTCCCACTCGCAACGCGTCGAAACGCATTTGGGGCGGTAAATTTCACTGCCTAGCACTATAGCCTAGCTCTAGGGCCCTATAAAATAGGTACCTTATACACAGGGACCGACCGACGCTGGGCTCCCGTCGTCTCGCCGGACCTCCAATTCTCTCCCACTCGCGCATTGTTGCAGCTTGAACTCGAGCTCACAAAAAAGGTTTCCATGGACCATTGTTGGCACGCACGGGAGCTCCTCAGAATGCCCCTGTTCATACAATTTTTCTTTGTTGGATTGCCGTCTGATTTTGGGGAAGTGATACCTCTATCCATGGTATGTGTAAGCAGCAATATGTAGTAGGTAGCTCAACCTCATTGGCTACCCATTGTGGCCAATGTGGGGCTGGAGACAAACAAATGGAACACGATTCTGAAAACACCAACTTGGAAGCTGTGAATAGAAACACACACGCATTTCTGGATCAAGTAAGCGTGCATTGATGCATTTATCATGTGCATGTACCGAGGGCTCCAGTGCCCTATTTATTGGGGAAAATTTCGCCATCCGGTTTTCTGAAATTATTACCTCCTCTCCTCTCCTCTGTCCAGAACCGCCCAAATCGCTCTGACGATTCGGACACGACCATTTCGTCTTCACTTTTCCCCTCTAAACAATAACTGCCTCCTTTGTCAATCCAGTCCATTCCACCGCAAAGCTGTGCAGAAATAGATCTGTCGCTGTCCGACTGGTCTAGTTTGTCGACAAGTGCATTGTTGCAACCCAGCAGCCACTCCTCTACACCCAGCCTGGACCGTCCAACCGTTTCGAAACTCCTGCCGGCCACGCCACTGCCTCATTCTGCCTGTCGAGAGGAACCCACGCTCCCACGGTTCTTCTGAGTTGCGCTTCAAGATTGGTGTTGCGTTCTCGTCCCTCTCTTCCATCGCAGTACCAAGTACCTATCCCCTTAACTGCTCCTCCAGCCCCCTTCAGACTTGCTATATTTTCTGACTTTTTGCCCAGACAAACTTAACAAAGCTGTTCTCTTCCGCCGTGCCGTGGACGACTATACCGCATCTCGCATTCCCCCTTCTATATCATCACACACATTTTTGATATCATACCCGACGTCCAGCACGTTCTCTACCTATATGCCTTTTATCTGGAGTTGCACTCCAATACCTTGACAACAACAAACCAAATGACACCTTGTTCAGGTGCTTTCAGCTAATCACAAGGCATCCAGATATTACGGCTTCTGTCAAGGTCTTTTCTTTTTTCTTTTTTGATCAAGGATGACCGTCCCGCGATGACTGAAATTAGATAACACTGATATGGGAAGGTTTTAAAAAATAATCCTCGGATGACATCTCAGTAGCTTGTAGAGGGAAGAAAGGAACTCTCATATGTACAAGAAGAGGTTGTAGAAGCGGGTTAGGGTTGTGCATGGGAATATCAAGACCAACAGGCCAAACTTGAAGCTGGTCCATGTAGACGGCTAAAAAGAGGAGAGTAAGGCAGATTGTGCAAATTGAAGCTTCAATAATGAATAAAATGTATTTGTTACATTTACAGGCGACTGCTGATAGCTGTTCCTGCTGTTCAACCAGGCATCACAAACACTGTGACGGCATGCACCATGGCGTTCACAATCAATGCCGGTGCGCGATGGAGCCTTCTACGTCTTTCTACATGAGCCCCACTCCTCCAGAATATCGTCAGGAGCTACCCCGCCATAACACAAGCTGACCTCCCTTCCGTTCTCTGCTCCATACATGGTGACTTGCTTGGAACAAAATCATTACCCGTATTTGCGCATTTCTTCGACACTGCTACAGTTTCGCGATTTGCACGCCAGTATAGTATTTCAAAACGCTTCCCAAAACCGAACATCTAAATCGATAATCAGAGTTACTGCTCGCCGCAAAGCGTCAGGATGCCGGTCGACTACAGCAAGTGGGTAGGTTACCCCTTTTCGGCCACCACGGGTGCTACTCGTGGACAGATGCACTGACATACCGATTCAGGATGCGCTGGAGCTCAGCGATGACTCTGATATTGAGGTCCATCCCAATGTCGACAAGCGGTCCTTCATCCGCGCCAAGCAGAACCAGATTCATGCGGAGCGCCAGCAACGCAAGCTCCAGATCGAGACCCTCAAGTACGAAAGAATCATTAATGATACCCTGATCAAGCGGATCTCCTCCCTTCTTGCCTCTCTCAAGGCTCATGCCTCGGAGGTTAGCTCGCGCAACCCGGGCGAGGTGGCCTTCCAGGCTGTCATGGAGTCGGCCGCTGGTCTAGATCCCAAGGACGACCAGCCCCCGCCGAGGCCTGCTGGCGTTCACAACGCAGAACAACCCCTGCCTACGTACACCAAGATGATGGCAACGCTTCTCGATGATGTGAACAAGACATTGGAGGAAAAGAAGGTCGAGCAAGACAAGAGATACGAGGCTACCATGGCGGAAGTGGAGGAGCACCTCAAGAAAGTTACAAACCTACAGGGCGAGTTGCTCAAGAAGCTTGACGAGCTGGAGAAGATCGAAAAGAGCAAGATTACGAGCGAATCTATTTACACGGGCTTTGATAGCACGCACATCAACAAGTCGAAGCCCTCTACCTCAGGAGACAAGAAGGATGCGTCCAAAGTCGAACTTCTAAACCCGAACTACAGCGCCACCGACAGCCTACCCGCACCCAGCAAGGCCACGGACGATGATGACGATGACGCTGAAATCGAGGCTTCTCCTGCCGCCAAACAATTTGCTTCCATCAAGGCCGGCGACTACCGCGAGTCCCTCGCCTTCCTTACGAAGCACCCAGAAATCCTTACCGAAAAGGAAACCGATGGCTTGCTCGTCCTCGCCTTCGACGCACAGCTTCAGAACCGTGACGACTATGCTCGCAATTGCGTCCACCAAGCACTCCTGCTGCAGTATTGCAGGGCTTTGGGACGCGACGGCGTCGCTCTATTCTTCAAGCGCATCACGACACAAGGCCACCAGGCCCAGGAGGTCTTCTTCAAGGATGTGCAGGACACATACTACAAGATCAAGACCAGAGCTAGAGAGATCAACCTGCAGAGGGCAAAGGAAGAGGCCAAAGGTGGCGGCCAAGAGGGCGTAGAACAGATCCAACTACATGCGGTAGAGCCTGGTACGGTGATTAACATCAACATCCCTCCAGCTGACAGTGAGGACCCAGAGGTACAGCAAGCTAGAGCTATTTTCGAGAGCTTTAGTCCCGAGATGAAGAAGGCTCTGGAGACGGGCAAGTTGGATGAGGTGAACAAGGTCCTGGGCCAGATGAAGGTTGAGGAGGCTGAGGAGTTGGTGGGCAAATTTGGAGATGTAAGTTCACAGCCGTTTCCTTGTATGTTGGTTTGTTGTGAGAACAGAATTGCTAACGTGAGGTCTTTAGGCCGGTGTCTTGAGTCTCGAGGAGGAAATCATTGACGCCACTACACAAGAGGGCCAGGAAAAGTGGAAGGAGATTGAAGCTGCCAAGAAGCACGTAGATGAGCCCGCCGGCGACCCGGAATGATTGATGTAAGACGCCGTCTTCGCACCTTTCGTTCTCGCTTGGAACACTTTTAGGACATAGGCATTGTAATTCGACGGACATAGCAACGAACACAGGAGCATATCAGGCTTCATGCTCTATCAAAGTCCTGTTTTAGCTCTGCAATGTTTCCAGTTTTTCTATAACGATCGCGTTGTCGACCGATAGTCAATTAGCTGGCCGCATCCTCCGATGGCCGAGTTTTTGTTACTGAGTTCTGGCTAGCATATCAAATTTGAGCATCACTCTCAACTTCGCTAGTTTGTTGTTTGGTCGCCTTGGTCCTGTCCGTAAGCAACACAATGGCCACGCAATCAGGTAACCCATCTTAACCAGAGAGAGCATTAACATGGTCAAGACTTGCGTGGGTGTTTTATTCGTTCATCTCGAAATCCCCCAAGCGAGAGCAAGCAGCCTCTTTCTCCACAAGCTTACGTTTCCTTTGCTGAGCTGACGCAGTTGCCCAGTAAGGTGCTCACAGGTTCACAACCTCTGGTATGGCCCGATACGTTGGCAATGGTTCTCCCAAATTCCTCAATGAAGAGCAGCTGAGCGAGAGAAACAAAGAGCGGTTTCCCTGATGTTTCGGGGGTGTTTGAGAGTTTTATACTCGTCTGCGTTTTGATCGGGCAAGACACGGGACCCCTCAGTGCCGTCGCTGGGGAAACCCTTTTCCCAGGTCGACGAGAGCCAATCAGAATCTGCGATTCCTCTCCTGCCTAGTTACCCCTGAATTACAAACACAAAGTTGGTGGTACGTACACATATCTCCAGATTGGGAACTCCGTTCTCCTTTACGAGGCGCACTCTCACCCCGTTTCGGTCTTGGTCCGGGGCTTTTGTATGAGCCGCGCGCTCTGTGAATTGGCAAGTCCAAAAGGGCGAAGATTGCGGATCGTAACCACTCGACCATTCACAGATAAGCGGGTTGACTGACTGCGGTAAAGAAGCGAGGCGCAGCACGCCTCCAAGTTACAACAGAAAATCGTTTCGTATCGCTGAAGTTGACTGGTGAGAGGAAGTCCTTTTTTTTGGAAACAGAGCCTCCTTGTCGTCGCAGAGACGTGGAGTGATCTTCAACTCGACAGCGGATCCCAATCCATTGGGTAGAGGTATGTACTGCGATACATGCGTACCCATGCAGATCCGTTCAAAGAGCAGGCTTTCTCTACCGTGCAGAAAGAAAGGAAAGCCGGTAGATGAGGCGAGGCCGGAAACGCTTGTGGGGAACTTGCATTCTTTTTGCTTGTCATTCTCTTTTTACTCCTCTCATAATTTTTCCAAGACTCTTTCAATATTTACTTCTGGGTGTTAGTCGTTTGCTTCATTATTACACTTGATACCAGGCTCGGGACAGAGAGCCGAACCCCTTCCCACGATCTTTATCACCGCAACTCCAGCCCTCTCCACGAGTCAACCCGAAAGTAATAATAATGCCATCACTCATATCAGCTCTGACGACGGGGCTATTACTGGCGTCTGGAATTCATGCCGTTCCACAGGGACCATTTGGAGCCGAGAGTGGGATCGTAAGCGCGGTACCAACAGCATCAGCATCAACGGCTGGCGTAGCCGCTGCTCAACCAACAACAGCATCAGCGTCATCGAGCAATGCCGCCAGCGATATCTCAGCCTGCAACAACTCACCGTTGCTTTGCGATCGGGCCTACAACAATGTCACGTACATGGGCGCGCACGATTCGTCCTTTCTCCGCGATGCCAGCACCGGTAACAGCTTAGCTGGCAACCAATATTTCAACGCAACAGTCGCCCTCGACGCTGGCATCAGACTGCTCCAAGGCCAAGTCCATGACGCCAACGGGACACTCCACCTATGTCACACCAGCTGCACCCTGCTAGACGCAGGGCCACTCGAAGACTGGCTGGCCAAGGTCAAGTTCTGGATGGACAACAACCCCAACGAGGTCGTGACGATCCTGCTCGTAAACTCCGACAACAAGCTCGTCTCCGACTACGCCGCCGTGTTCGAGGGATCCGGTATCTCTATCTACGGCTACCAACCGAGCGACGGCAGCACAGCCAGCACCACCTGGCCCACGCTAGGCAACATGATCACCTCCAACAAGCGCCTGGTCACCTTCATCGCCTCCATCGACTACTCGCCCACCTACCCATACCTGCTGAACGAGTTCGACCACGTCTTCGAAACCCCGTACAACGTCCTCAGCCTGAGTGGGTTCAACTGCACGCTCGACCGCCCCAGTGGGCAGGGTTCGGCGGGGAACGCTATCTCGGCCGGGATGATGCCGTTGATGAACCACTTTGCCGACAGTCTGATTATGCAGGGCGTCCAGATCCCGGACGAGACGGACATCGACATCACGAACAGTGCGGACACTACCACCACGGGAAACCTGGGGTTGCACGCTGATACCTGTGTCAAGCAGTGGGGGACGAAGCCGGTGTTTATCCTGGTGGACTTTTTTGATCACGGACCGGCGATCGATACCGCCGATCGGTTGAACGGGATCACGGCCACGGGGAGGAAGTCGGTCTCCGGGGAGGGCAAAAAGAGCACAAGCGGCGCGGGGGAGAACCACTCGCCGATGGGCATTAATGTCGCGCTTGTTGCTTTTGTTGGATTTGCTCTGGCGATGGTGTAGATGATGTTGTTAAAGTTTGCAGTGAGTGCTAGAATGATTCGTTTGGGAGAACTCATTAGCATGGTTACGGCGTTGGGCGCAATTCTTTTAGAGCAATTGGATAGACATTTGAAAGGAGATTCTTGCTTTGTGACCATCAGTACGGGTGTTACACGAGAGCTGGTGATGGTCGTCTGATGGTGTCCTCCCCTTGCCATAACTCTTGCGAGGTCTTGCCGTCCACACCAGTGGTGTTCCTACAACAGAGCATTCATGAGTTTCGATCTATATCATGCGTTAAAACATCTTGCTCACTGAAATTAGACGAGCTTGGCCGCAGCGTGCCGCCGTAGTTAATCCGATATCCCGTTTGGTTAGGTAGACTGGAAAGCTGTTCTCGCGCATATATCCACCATTCGTTCTCCTCTTCCACGCACCGCCTCCCCCTTCCCCCCTCATTCCTTTCGGCTTGCAGGATTGACTCTCTGCTGAATGTTCACAAAACTGGATCAGACAGCGCAAAGGTAACTCCAAGAAACGAACAAATCGATGTCGCATTGTTAACAGTACAGAATGTATTCCACTGCTATTCATTCCATCCGGACTCCAACACCGTTTTCCGTTTGCCTCTTTACCAAGAACTGGATGAGACTGGCATGGCGTTGCTAAAAATGATTCTTTGGCCGATTCGAGAATCACCTGCCCTCCACGAGATCGAAATTTTTAACCTCACAGGCAGAAGAATCGTGCTCTTTATCCATTACACGAAGCCTCCATACCTCTAACTTCCAGTCCGTTCCACGTGGGTCGCTTTTGGCCGCTCCTTCCTCACTGCAATAGTTGACCCGGAAGCAAACTGGAAGGTATGGTCAAGGCACCTCCTGCTCCAACATCACAAAATCCTCTCCCCTTCGCAACTGGCTTCATATTTTTGTCCTTCAAACTTTCCGCGCGGTTCTCAATTGCCCATCCACCAATAAATTATCTTTACCACTTGGCCACGGGCTATGGGCATCAACGCAACCTTGATCCTTTTCTTCCACTCGTTTTGATCAATTGTTGAGACTGACATCTGCGAGTGTCTACCCCGCGCAAGCACGAAATAGTCGAGATCTTGAGGCCATCGAGGGTCTTGACGCGCTAGGACACGCAGAAACGATGAGTTCATCAAGAGCGACATTCTACGCGCACCAGACGCTCAATCTCCACGCCCGGTACGGACTATCGGACAACGCGAAGAAGCTTCTCCGAGCTCACGACCACTGGAGGATGGGAGGCCTTGAGCGAGATCAACTGGGTCGTCTGGTCCGAATGTCTCCCGACATGCGCAAATCGATCACAGATACCATCACCAAATGCGCCGAGATAATGCGCAAGAAACCCGCCGAGGTCAAGAATTGTATCGATATCATCCAGGCCTGTACCGAAATTTTGGATGCTGCTGGTAAGAATTGTTCATTGTTACCTGCGTTCATCTGCTCTGTATACATTTTGCCTGGATGCTAACAAGTCCTGTGACCAGACAAACCACCGGATTTGGAGGGCTTCCCATTCCTCAAACTACCCGCCGAACTACGCCAGAACGTATATCGCTGGTACGCAACCAAGATTGTAGCCTCGACGTTGGTTGCATATCCAAGCGAACTAAATTGCGACTGCGGCAAATGGACACCTCCGAATCCTTCGACTCTCCCTGCTATACATCGCGTAGACATGGCGTTGGCCAGGACCTGCAGTCAAATCAAGACCGAGTACCTCGAATTCCTCTATCACAAATACACCTTATACTTCGACTGCAGCTGTGAACTGAGTAAGCGCTTGAAAAGCAACCCGAACCTGCGCGCTAGTCTTCGTTCAATCAAGGTCCATTGGACAGGCCCCGTGTCGGACAAAGCCTTCAGCCGTCTCGCCAAGTGCCAGGAGTTAAGACATCTTGACATAGCCATCTCCAAGTCAACCACCAATTTTGAGACTCCCAGGGAGAAGGAGATGCGGCGTTACTTCCATTCGATGAAGCCAGCTCGACTTGCGGACGCTCTGGGAATCGACGAACTGCTCAGCATTCGAGGCCTCACGTCTGTTTGTGTCTCCCACGTGAACGGCAGACAGAGCACAAAGCGAACAGATGAAGAGCGGGCAAACCTCCAGGGGTTGCTCAAATTCAAACTTCGTGTTCTCGAGCTCGATTAGGGGAAGAACATGTGGGAGGTAGGGTGGTCGTGGTGGTCATGCTTTGGGCGTAGATGCCAGATAGGGGGTATTGGCGGCTAGGTCATTCAAGTGGAGGATTGCAGAAAGTGGCCGAAGTACAGGCGCATGAGCATGTGGGAGCGAGCCATATGGAGAATTTGCTGGGTTCTCGCTGATGCAGTTGAGGGATGTCTGAGTACATGAATGAGTATATCGACAGTTGCCAGTGTCAGTGGCTGTATGGATCACACATGAGGGAGGATCCCGATATCAAGCCAACGGTCTACATACGGCAGCAGGGTCTCGAGGACAAACACGACCAACTGGGAAGGAAGATGTTGCAACGAGAAATTGCGAAAGCCTCCATAGGGAAAGGAGAAGGTTCCGCACTCAATGAACGTCACCGAGTTTATTCTTGTCTTGTACGCAGCTCGCAAGCGAGGCGCATCCTGGCTCAAGATCAACCCCAGGGCAGGATAGTTGACCGAATCAGGCATAAGACGACAGGGCAAAGGTCACAAGTCATCACCGAAACCTACCTTTCCTCGTGTCGTTATGACGTCCTCGGTTTGGGAAGACAGACACATCTCGCATGAGGCTTTTGATCCCCAACTAGGTCGATAATTTGCACAATGACAGTTCATTGCTTTTGCCCCATTTCCATGGAAATGTATGTGAGGTACCGGCATATAGTTTACCAGATGTGCACGCTGTGACGTTTCGCGTTGTCTTTGGTTGCCAAATGACCGGTGATGGAAATCAGGAAGCGTGTTTTTGCTGAAAAATGTTTCGGTTCGAAATAGCGATGAAGTTAAGTAAAATGTGGACCCACATGTATCTTCCGTGCCAATTGCCAAGAGTGCCTGGCAGCTGGCAGAATTCTCGTCTACCGCTGCGCTAGCACCGTATCCTCGAGACTTCAACAACACCGGACCTCCCATCAACACTGACATCTATCACAGCCCAAGTTATACCGATGCTGAACCTGAGCAAAACCCAACTTGCACACTTAATTCAAACCGCCTCTAGAGAGAATTGGAGAGCACAGCCAGCCAGCATCAATTCGGAGTTGAAACATCGCGTTAAAAAGTACCATGTGTTTCTTCTCGTCGTGGCTTTCAATGTTTCTCGGATACACTCCCCACCTTCTCGAGGGCTGTCGCACCATGGCATCAGCCTGGATTTCACTCGTGGTCTCTTGACACGAAACTTACTCTATCATCATGGCTTTGGGAGCTAAGAATACGACGAACAACCTTCACATAAGAACCGTGATCACTTCTCAGTCGTCGTTGTCAGTCTTTGATGAGACACCCCTCTCGCAAATTCTCCGCCCAAATAGGCTGTTGATACCAAACTGGTAGTTCATCCTTTCTTTGCAAGATCTTCCGATAACAAACCACTTCCATTTTTACCGTAGACCCGCGGCTCCTCGAGTACTCTCAACTTTTAGTTTTTTACCCCTTCTTCTGTTCGGCCAGATGTATCTCAGCCGAACACTCACAGCCCTATTGGGCCTCGTGTCCCTAACCTCAGCAGGTGTGTTCCTGTTCCTCACACGTCCTTGGATAGAACCAAGGGCTGCTAACACCAGAACAGCCCCGGCGGCAGTTGAACAACGAGACATTGTTCCTTTCGAAGGAGAGAGGGGTCCAGGGGTCCTCAAGCAGAGACCAAAACCCCAGAAAGCTCCCGCTCTGGCTCAAGGCGCCGCTACTGATACCACCACCACGTACACGACCGTGACTATACCGGGAACTGAGACTACGGGAGTGGCTGCTGCCGCTGCCGACGCCGACGCAACCGCGAGTTCGGAGCCACTTATACTCGTTGCTGGGGACAATGATGGGTCGGTGATTACTGTGGCACCTGCCTCGCCCGCTACGACATCCGTGACTTAGGCTACGGTCGTGCGATCGGAGGTTTTGTGACAAGGACGAAGTGTTGACGACTGCATTGGTTTCCATGGTTAGGTTGTTTTGGTGTTTGAGCGGTGGCCGAGCGTGTTCTTGGTTTCGGAGACTTCTGGCTGTTGGAGCAGGCTGAACGCATTTGTTGACTCAGTTTTATTAACTTTAATAAACGTGGTCACTCACAAGAGGTTGGTTGAAGGGTCAAACCCGCAAAACTTCATCATGAACACGATTTCGAACATCATGCCCATAAGAAGATCCTGTCCCCATAACCAAGCCTGCTGGAAGGTCGAAAGGTGCTGTTGCTGTTGAGGTGAAGGACTGCTGAACGTCGAGGTGAAGGGGCAAACCAGGGTCTGGGTTAGGGTTATCGCAGGAATTTGAGCGAGAAATTACAGACAACTGACAGGCACCTGCCCGGGCACGAGCCACCCGCCTCATTCACAGCAATTGCACGCACTTTTGCCCCGCCACGTGACGCACAAATTTCGAAAACAATCTGGGCTTGAATATCGACGGAGCACTTCCCTCGAACCTGCGACCGAACACACAGCACAGACAGTATCGAGGCGGTATCTCGAAATTATTGCCCAAGATGTCTCTTGTGTCCGGCGAGAAGGTATGTTGCAATCCTGCAGATTCATTTCCTCCCGAAGAAGATCTTGCGTTGCCCAAAAATCTGGGGTTCTTGGCTGCGGTCGTTGTTCATCTTTTGGCGCCGTGGGGATGCCATCACGAATGACGAGTTGGCGTCGCTGCCCACCTTCAAAACCGATGCAAATACGAGACGACATAACGCGAAAGTTCATGGAAGTGGCGTTCCACGACAATGTCGCGACAACAGACGGTTCATCGACGCGCCGGCTTCCGAATACCGATGACGGCCTCAAGCAATGTGTAGACATGGAAGTGGATATGGCTTTGCAGTTAGCCTGTGGTAGACCGAGGATGAAGGCGAGCGACACGGCCTCTGACGACGAGAGATTGCTATTCGACACACATTGCGCATGCGGTGGGCGATACCAAGAGACGGCGATACGAGCAGGCGACCATTAGCATTTGATTGAGCATTGAGCTCTGGGAGCGATGCTTGGACATCGCAGCAGCCAAAGGAGAACAGCACGGCAGGACCAAGAACCGGGAACCGGCAAGCGCTGGGATGCATAATCTTCGACTGGATATCATACAAGACGCTTTCGGATGCTAACTGTCTCTCCAGAGCAACTTCAACCACATCTTGCGTCTGCTCAACACCAAGTATGTTCACCCAGGCACTTCAAGATCCAGACCGCATCGCGAATCCGGAACTCAACCGTTTTCAAGAGGAGGGTCAACATGTTGAATACGGGTGCTGACTTTCATGCAGCGTTGACGGCAAGCAGAAGGTCGTTTACTCCTTGACCAAGATCAAGGGTGTCGGTCGCCGCTACTCCAACCTCGTCTGCAAGAAGGCCGATGTCGACCTGAGCAAGCGTGCCGGTGAGCTCACCTCTGAGGAGCTTGAGCGCATCGTCACCATCATGCAGAACCCCACTGCCTACAAGATCCCCGCTGTACGTTGAACCGATCCCACTCGACATGATTTCGTCGTCTAACCTTCTCTTCTACAGTGGTTCCTCAACAGGCAGCGCGATATCGTCGACGGCAAGGACTCCCAGATCCTCGCCAACGGTGTTGACTCCAAGCTCCGTGACGATCTTGAGCGCCTCAAGAAGATCCGTGCCCACCGTGGTCTCCGTCACTACTGGGGCCTCCGTGTCCGCGGTCAGCACACCAAGACCACTGGCCGCCGCGGTCGTACCGTCGGTGTCTCCAAGAAGAAGGGCAACTAAATATGTGCGGGCTTATTCGGCGCTGCTTTTTCTGGGTTATTGGTGGTGTTATTCCAAGACGGGTGGTTATGGACATCTGGGACTGAATTTTTTCGCCTTGCGAGTATCTGGATTCTAGGTAGCCTATGGCTCATGGGGGAACTCGCATGCTAAGGAAAGACACATCATTGACAGCATGACAATAAACGGCGCGGATATGGAAAATGATTTACTGTTGGGATTCTCATTCGGTCTCTATGGACGTGAAAGACGCAAACCCATTGCCCAAAACAACCAAATGTGATTTTCGATGCCATAACGCCCGCCCCATATATGTGACTTGAAATCTATCAAAGAGAGGAATGACCAACAGGGTATCAACCGGTCACAAGAAAACAAAGTCATGACTTTAATCTTCGTGAGTGACGGCCATATCCAGGACCTCTACTCTTCCCTGTCCCTTGGTCTCGCTTCCGATGAAGTCAGACAAGATCTTGAAAGCGCCGGGCTCTACGAAGCCCACCATTTCCCACTCTTGGCCCATGACATCCTGGCTCTCAACCTGCTCGACGAAGCTGAGAATCTTGTCCTTGACCGTACCAGGCGCCTTCTTCTCTCCCTCCTCGCCATCCTTGTCGGCCTCCCCCTTGGGAGCCTTGACGGCCTGCTTGAGCACGTTGGTCGTGCAAGTAATGCGCAACCTCATTCTCGCCCTGGCAACGGGTATGGGCTGGTGAGCGACAAGCGCCTTCATGGCCTCGAGCGCTTGTGACTTCGCGCTCTTGTTCGTCGATACACCGGTCCAGATGGGTAGGGACTTTGTAGGCTGGGGCTTGGCCTCGCCGCTCTCGCCCGTCGCCGGCGACGCCGCACCGCTCGCGGCCGCGTCCTTCTTCTCCTTCTCCTTCTCCTGCAGCTGATGCGCCTGCGAGCTCAGCATGTCCAGCGCCTTGTCGATCATGCCCGTGGTGTACACCTTCTTGGTGCGCGGGTCGACCAGCTTGCTGGCGACGATGGAGACGACCTCGTTGTGGACGCGCTCCAGCTGCGCGCCGCGCTCCTTCTCGCCCACCTGCATCTCGCCCTTTTTGAGGATCTCGAGGATGATGTCATTGACCGAGGTATCCTTGCCGAAGGCCTTTTGGAGGTCGGCCGTCGGCGCCGTCTGGCCCTTGGACACGTTCAAAAAGACGTTGGGGATCTGCAGGACGTTGTCGAGATCGGTCTCGATGCCGGAGCGCCATTCGAGCACTTTGTTCTTGTAGCAGGCGACCTCGAACCGCTTCTTGCCCTTTTTGAGTCGGACGAGGGAGACGTTGGTCAGTTTGATCTGGTTGGAGGGTTGCTGGATCGGCATTTTGGCGGTGGTTGTGTGGTTGTCGCGAAAGAGTACGGATTGGTGAGTTCGGCGGTATCGATTCTCCGGGAAATGGAGCTGTTAGGAATGGATTCGAAGGTGGTAACAATCGGTTATATAGGATGTTTGAATAGCTTTCTTAAACAGCTGTTATGTTTCAAGAAATCGGGCATACAGGTTGACTTCCTGGAGTTTCTCTGCCCGTAACAGATAACGATATGCCCGTGGAGCACAAATTCTTGGTCTCCGCAACTTTTCTCTGCTGCAGAGCCCGGGCCTTGAAAGTCTGCCCCGCCTGCCCGCCGAGCCCGGCCGCCCAGTCTGATGGGCCGCCCCATCGGCTCCCTAGGCCGAATGACGATTGACGGCGGGCAAAAAGCGGGCTCTGGAGTCAAGCATGCGAGTTCGTGAATTCCATTTGTCCGTCGGATGAGTCAGTGGGTCTTCTTGTTATCGATACCACAACATCTCGCTTGGAGACGGGTTTGTCCGATATTCAAGATGATAAAGTCTGACGCAAAGTGATGCCTCTTCAGTCTCGAAGACCGGGAATGTAGATTGAACTCATTCATTGCACAAGGGATTCTTATAACTAGCCATTCCACATATCCTCTGAAGCTGGCGCCTATTTGAGCCGAACGTGCCAGGAAAGCAGCACAAAATCACCGTTCGTCTGATATCTTCCAGGGATGGGTATCGCGTTGCATAATGCGCGATTCATGAGGATTATTGGAGTCCCGTCAAGGATTCTCATCTCCTCCCGGGAACAACACTCTCCTATACCCAGAGTTGGGAGTATCAGATATGGACAATTTATCAGCAACGAGAAGGAAATGAGTGAGCAGGATGTGTGGGAAATAAATGCAACGGACAAATGCAACGGACTTCCGTAGTCCTTCGGCGTGCGAGCATTGCATTTATTCATCACACAACCTGGTGAGCTGTGCTCGGGCGGTGGACATGGAGTTGCATCGAGGCGACCTTGTTGGAGAGGTTGAGACAATGACGAAGCTTATCAGACATGAGGGGCTGACAGGTTGATTGGCGCCACGTCTTGAAGTCAAACCGTACAAGAAAATAATAGCTAGACATGGCGGTGAAAGCCTTATGGGCGGCTTCTCACCAGCCGTTTGGTGATTATTTTGTCTGGCTGATCGGCTAGGCGTCCGTTCTCGTGACCAGCGTGACCGCCCTGGCACCCTGCAAGGTACCTGACCAATACCCAGGCACGCACTCATGTGGCGGCGCAGCGTCTATCCAATCCCATGCCCGCTTTCCCCAAATCCTGGGGGTTTCTGCTGCATCCGCGTCCGGTGAAGCTCGGTTCCGGGCGTTGTACCTTGGCAGTTGTTGCCCATCCGTTTCCGTTATCAACCTCCTCCTCCTTCCTCTTCCTCTCTTCCATCTTCTTCTCATCATCCATCTTTATCACAACACCACACTCCTATCATCATCACAATGAGGATCTCGGCTTCAACCGTGCTCCTCGGGGCTGCCTCGGCCGCATCGGCAGCTTCGTTCCAGAACCAGGCCCAGCATGTCCTTGCCGACAACGTCCACAAGGCCCATGACGCCATCAAGCCCGTCGCCGACTCGTTCGCGCACACCACTCTCGAGAGCTTTGAGGAGGCCTTCAACGGCATGAACTCCCAGGCCAAGGCTCTTTGGGACGAGATCAAGCTTCTTGTTCCCGAGAATGCCTTCGATAAGCCTACCTGGTTCAGCAAGCCCAAGGCTGCTAAGCGCCGTAAGGACTGGGACCACGTCGTCAAGGGCGCCGATGTCCAAAAGCTGTGGGTGAAGGACGCCGACGGCGAAAAGCATCGCGAGGTTGGCGGCCAGCTCGATAACTTCAACCTGCGCGTCAAGTCGGTCGATCCTTCCAAGCTCGGCGTCGACAAGGTCAAGCAGTACAGCGGTTACCTCGATGACGAGGCCAACGATAAGCACCTTTTCTACTGTAAGCCAATCACCTCGACTTTCCCGAAATAACAAAAGACATCGCGATGCTAACACCAACTGTCCAGGGTTCTTCGAGTCTCGCAACGATCCCAAGAACGACCCCGTCGTTTTGTGGTTGAATGGTGGCCCCGGCTGCTCTTCGCTCACTGGTCTCTTCCTTGAGCTCGGCCCTTCCTCCATTGACAGGAAGCTCAAGGTTGTCAACAACGAGTACGCCTGGAACAACAACGCTAGCGTTATCTTCCTTGACCAGCCCGTCAACGTCGGGTACTCGTACTCCGGCAACGCTGTCAGCAACACTGTCGCTGCCGGCAAGGATGTCTACGCTCTCCTTACCCTCTTCTTCCACCAGTTCCCTGAGTATGCCAAGCAGGACTTCCACATTGCTGGCGAGTCTTATGCTGGCCACTACATCCCTGTCTTTGCTTCCGAGATTCTCTCCCACAAGGATCGCAACATCAACCTCAAGTCCGTTCTCATCGGTAACGGCTTGACTGATCCTCTTACCCAGTATGAGCACTACCGCCCCATGGCCTGCGGTGAAGGTGGCTACCCCGCCGTTCTTAGCGAGAGCGAGTGCCGCAGCATGGACAATGCCCTCCCCAGATGCCAGTCTCTTATCCGTAACTGCTACGAGAGCGGCAGTGTCTGGTCGTGCGTTCCTGCCGCCATCTACTGTAACAACCAGTTCATCGGCCCCTACCAGCGCACTGGCCAGAACGTCTATGACATCCGTGGAAAGTGCGAGGATGACAACAACCTCTGCTACAGCGCTCTTGGCTGGATCAGCGACTACCTGAACCAGAAGGATGTCATGGATGCTCTCGGTGTCGAGGTTGAGGGCTATGACAGCTGCAACTTCGATATCAACCGCAACTTCCTCTTCCAAGGTGACTGGATGCAGCCCTTCCACCGTCTCGTCCCCGGCATCCTCGAGCAGATCCCTGTCCTCATCTATGCCGGTGATGCCGACTTCATCTGCAACTGGCTCGGCAACAAGGCTTGGAGCGAGGCCCTTGAGTGGCCCGGCAAGAAGGGCTTCAACAAGGCCGAGCTTGAGGACCTCTCTCTTCCCAAGGCTGACAAGGAGTACGGCAAGGTCAAGTCCTCCGGAAACTTCACCTTCATGCAGATCTACCAGGCTGGCCACATGGTGCCCATGGATCAGCCCGAGAACTCGCTTGACTTCCTCAACAGGTGGTTGGGCGGTGAGTGGTTCGAGCAGTAAGCGCTTCATGGCGTAACAGGAAACCCGCAACCGGAAAGCGGATCTTATGAGTGTATGATGGATAATGATCGATAAGGGATTGGTTTGGATTACGACAAGGGCATGTGTATACAACTTGGCTAGTGTCAGAGCTCGCGTCTGTTTGATGGTTCAGACAGGACACAGCGTGGCGTAATGGGACAGCATGATTTCCTTTCATTGTCAACAGCTCGTCACAGGAGTAGTCTTTGATAGTATTACAACATTCAAGTATTCGCTAAGTTCATGGACACCATTTCTGACAGTCCACCTGAACAGTCAAGTATGAACAGTCAAGGTGTTGAAGTGTGTACAGTGACCAAGTAGGCGCAGAGGTTTGTCTCTTGCTTACAGTTTCACTATCAGAGGCATATTTGCACGACTTGGTTGAATCCGCCTCCACTTTCAAAACCGATATGTTCCTATTGTAACCATTGTCCTTGGTGTTCGTGTAAGAAACGAACGAGGCTTTATCTAGGGGCAAGTAACCACTTCTCAGCCAAAGACCAAGCAAGTCTCCTCTTAATCTTACCCGCGGAGGTGTTGGACATTGCTGTCCTGTGTCCATAGAGGCAAGTGTGCTTACCTAGCAGTAGCTGTCTGGCTTTCCGAGGAATTTCAGAAGTGGTTGGGTATAAGAATAAACGCATATAAATATCTTGTGGTTGGAGAATTTTCCTGATACCGGCATGCGTTCGTCTCACACGAACGAGACGAGCAGCTACATTGACAGAGGCAGAGGCTGCGAGCAGAAAAAAGGAGTCAAGCAAAGTTAGATGGTAATTTCATATACCATTCTGTTTTTTACGATATTTGGTTCACTGGCAACCACTCAGCTCAGCTCAGCTCAGCTCGGCTCAACTCAACTCTTCCTCATTTCCTCACACACAAAGATATTGACTGGTTCAATCAAGAGGGAGGGGCACGGCACGTAGGAGGATGATAGGAAATAACAATGTTGGTGGGTGGGTTGGGGTATGTTGAAGTGAGAACTGAACTCCGGGAAGTCTAAGCAGCTAGTAATGTTGTGATGATAATCCAATGACGATGAGCCCGAACCAAACCAAGCCAATGAAGAAACGATGGAACAGAAAGAAAGGGAAGAACAAGAAAGAAAGAAAGAAGTAACGAAAGGAAACCAAAAAGGAGGTATCATGTTGAAGGTCAAGAAAGGTAAACAAGAAGAGGAAAAAAAAACACACGAAGAAGTGATAAGAATGAAGCAAGTCCCATGTAAACCTCTAGTAATACACTGACACAACTGAAGGAGAATTCGCGAGTTTTCTTGTTTCCTCGGATGAGCCCAGAATAGAGTCGAGTCTTGTCTTTTGTTTTTGTCTCGCTCTTGGGGGGGAAGGAATGGTAGTAGTAAAACCTCCTATAAAAGAACAGAGGCAGACAAAAAAAGTGTGTGTGAAACACACTCGGAAAGAAGAATGAATAACCAACAAGAAGAAAAAAAAGAAGCCCAATGGTAAATGCTCTCTCTCCTTCTCCCATTTCCCCCTCCCTTTGCCTTTCCTAATCATGTGTATACGTATGTAATTTCGCCGGTGCATCCTTTCCTAATCCCAACCAACTCGATCAATCAATAATCATAAATGCATCTTTTCTCCCCATCCCCTTACTGTCCCAACCTAATGATGAGCAACCGCATGTGAATAAGAGAGGTTTGTGTATTGGTCCACAAACCCATCTAGAACAAATCCTCTCCCCTCCGACTGGGAGACGACACTGACACTCCTTATAATCTTTGGGCGTCCAGTAGGCCAGTGTCAACCAATATCGATGCCGATTGAGAGGGCTTATAGACGGTATCTAAGACTTGCGGAGCCAATGATGGATGGGCCACAGGCTGGCGTTCCGTGAGAATCTCGCGAACCCGAATCCAGAAATTGCACCCGGGCTCAGCAGCGGCGGTGTTATGAGGGTAGGCGTCTCGACAACACCCCAAAGATAAGATCGATAAGGAGATACTATGCGTCACCGTCATCAGATCCTTTTGCGGTATCATCGATATTGCTCGACCTACAGCGGAAAGCTTCATGAGCCGCTGGATCTAGGCCTCCACTTCTTTGCGCGCTTGACAATATCGGGTGAAGAATCCGAGAGCGTAGCATCGTTATCATCTGCCGGGACGACAAGCATGCTGCCTTGTTTCGGAGGCGGCGACGAAAGCCGAAGCAGAGAGATGGCACTCTATCCCATCGAATCTGCTGACCTTTCGGGGCTTGCGGGGCATGATGTCTTTCCCTTCTTCGATTTGGTAAACGAAGAAAATTTGGACGAGAACTTGTTTTTGAGACCCATCAGGCTCCCCTTCTTCTTAATCGTTTTGCCGTTGCCGGTGTCTTGTTCTGGTTTCAGATATTCCTGTCCTAATGTCGATCCGCAGCCATTCATGTGACCGTTTCCGTTAGACATATTATCTTCGTCATCGCTTATAAAATGATCGAGTTTTTCGTTCACTTGCAGCTGATCTCGGTGCGAAGACATTTTGGTCGCCTCAGGAATCGCAGTCGGAGAGTCTGGCGCTGTGACGGTCGTCACAGGAACACCGACAGATTTGTCCATCGAGTCCCTGCTGATGATGCTCGTGCCCTGCGTACTAGGCGAGAGCGGCATCTTGCCCGTCGTCGCGCTGTTTGCCTGCGAACCCCACTCTCCCGAGCAGGGTGCTGAGCTGCCTTCGGTCGCCTCACTGCACCGCTGGCGGTTCGATCCGTGTAACCCGGCACCTCCACGGGAGAAGTCGGTGGTCGTAAGACTAGGAAGCACACCGTTAGGTCTTCCATTGAGGGCGCTCTTTTCTGTCGGGGGCTCCGAATCGCATTTCGGCGGGGGGCTATGTTTAGAGATGCCAGGTTGATTTTCCATCGTCGATCCTGCCGAGGGGAGTAGGAGTTGATTCTCAAAGTGAGTGAGGTTCAGTTCCATTTCGTCAACGGAGCACTGTAGACCGGGCAAGATATCTGCCACGCCTCGGAACAGAGGGAAGGCAAACAATTCCATGAATTTTAGCTGGGACCTGATCCGGCCGTCGAGATTCGTCGATGGTGGAGCGATAAGTGCCGTCTTTTGACCCATATCCCCCTCAATCTGAGTCTGCAATAAGAGTTCGTCATTCAACAGGTGCATCCACTGTACACCGATATCGTGTCTCCGTGCGACGTTACTGATATCAGCGCACTTGATTATAAGAGCGCACACTAGCACCCTCGCCTCATCGACAGCCTTCTCATTCCATCCGTCAAGATCAGGTTTTTGAGCTTGAAGTTTTTGCAAGTTTCCGAGTTTTGCCATGTAGTCGAAATGAAGGGCCATATCCGTAGCCAGGATACAACTGATCATCAACGTGCGCAGACGCCTATTCTCGTAAAATATCGGCCAATGTCGCTTGAGAATCTGGCAGTAGCTGGTGCTGTGAAAATTCTCCAGTACTGAGCGATCGTTGTACAGCTCCGCGAGAGGCGCTCGGGCCTCGACCAGAAAGCCGTTGTTGACACCGGGATGCAAAACATCGTGACCAATGGCAGTAAGGAGGAGGGTGAAGGCTTCTTCCGGACCTATTGAGGGTGTCGTAGAGGATTTTGCGATTGGGTTTGTATGAGTGCCGTTGACGTTTGGATAAGGGGGCAATGCGCCAATCCGGAGCAGCTGGTGAAAAGTTGCCTGTAGAACATCGATAACATGTCGAAAGTTGTGGTATGGCACAAAACCCATATAAGCAGCCCGACAAGCTTTGAGGAAATTCTGCAACTGCGTGGGCGAGATGCGAAATGCCTTTAGCTCCGGCATGGATAAGGCATGGTTTAGTGTAAGTTCGGCTGCGACTATCAGCTCGTCGTTGTCAAACTTGTGAGCATCGAAATGCCATGTGCTGATGGCACGGGAGATCTCAGCTCGCTTCTCTGGGCACACCGAGACATTGGCCTTATAGATCTCATCATCTCTGTCGTCCTCCGTGCTGCAGATCTTCTTAATCAGACTCTCCACCAGGTATTCGCGAAGATAACCATACGGCCGGGTATCGTTGAACACAGCAATCAGCGATCGTTTTCTGCCCTTACGCACATCCGCCAATGCTTGTTTCCTCGAGAGAGCGTCCTTGTAAGCGTAATATGCCCTGTCTTGAATCACTGTGATGCTCTTAGCATTCAGGGGACCCGATAGGACTGCCTTGGCCCCAAAGTCGATACATTGTTGTCGCATCCTCGTCCTATCGGCCCCACTGACGTTGTTCATGGCGTCGGGTAATTGGATAAGTGGGACAGATATAACCTGCTCGTAGAGATGGCGAGCACGAGCTTCGGACTCGATCTTCTTGAGTAACGAGAGGCCGTACGAGTTGCCATCGTGGCTCTCGTCCCTGCGTTCATTCGGAAATTGGGCCGGGAAGAACTGCTGGTAAGGGGTGTCTAAGAGGATAATCGTTGGTTGAAGATCGGCCTCGTGGTCTTCTTGGGGCTTGAGCCAGTGGGACATGCAGGCACCCTCAGTGCTGCACAAGTAAGCTGCATCCAACTGTTAGCACAAAAGGTCGACATGAAGGATGGATATCAGCGGCCCCGCAAACCTTCTGG